TCATTAGCGAAGTGAAAATGAAACCGTTAATGAATCGAAATTAATTACACAGAGAACAAAAAACCCAAAAAAATGTTGGGTTTATAACGAATACCATTATATATGCATGGGATGATTTGAGATGGAATATAGGTAGGGTTGGGCGTTTCGGCTCGGTCCAGTTCGGAACCGAACAAAAAAATACGGTATTTTTTTCGATTCGAACCGTTCTAAATTTTCGAATAGTATTATTTTAGGGAAACTGAATTTCTCTTAACCAAACGGAATTTTAAAAAATCCGGAAAATCGAATTTTTTTAAAGAAAATCTTTTTTTTTTGAAATAAAAATCGGGACCGAACCAAATAAAAACCGATCGGTACCTATTTTTATAAAATGAAAAAAATTCGAACCGATGCATTTTCATCCCGAACTCGAACCGATTCCCGAAACGCTACGGGGCGAAAACACATTCCACATGAAAGTTGACCGGAGAGACGCAAATGGGTATAGACGGTACGCTTTGTGTGTGGAGGGACGCACGCACGAAACCCTACCTTTTATCGCAGCAAGAAGATAAACCATAAAAAAAGGAAACACTTTTTTTACAGTTTAGGCCCTCCATATAAATTGCTCTCATAATTATAATTTTATTTTTCGTTTGATGCTTACTATTATTGTTTTTCTCGTAGTGTGGTTTACTATTTCGCTCTACAAACAACCACAAAAAAAAAGTGTGATTAAAATATGGAAGGAGGAGGAGGAAGAGTTTCCAACTGCGATCTACAAGTGGCATCGACGACGATCCGTGAGAACAACATGGGTTTCATCGTCCCCTTTGAAGACAACCATGTCTTCAGCTTCTTGGCTTCTTCCTCCTCTTCTTCCAAGCCTCACTCTTCTCCTCACCTGATCAGCACCGCCGCCATTAACAACACTAATACAACTTCTCTAGGGTTTTCCGATACCACCCAGGTTCTTTTATATATACATAGATTTGGAGATGTTTCTCTCTTTTTGTTTCTTGGTTGATCGTGGAAAGTTTCATTTGGTTAGGGCGGAGCATTGGGATCGAAGAGGGTTGACGATGATGATAATTGTCATCGGGAGAATAGAACTGGACATTCCAACGATACCTCGTGGTAATTAAACAACTAATCACTCTCGTCCCTAAGTCTTGAATGTTTGAAGATTGGTCTTTCTATTTCGTTGGACTCGTTAAAACCCCATGTCTCAAACTTCGACATCAATGTCTTGAGACCTCAGTTATGTCGTGGATGCGGTTTGATATCTATCCTCGTTGCTTCTCTCTTTATTTTCTTGTGTCTGATTAAGCATGTTCAAGATGATCATACGTTTGTGTCTACAATTTATACCCTCATACTTAAAATATGCTTGTGTTTTTAATAATCTATTGGGATCCTACAATATAGTACCGTATCCCTCTTTAGAGAAATTAATGCCAAGAACCGATATATATGCAGATTCTGGAAGCCTTTATATAAGCATACCCGTTATACAAATTAAATATATTTTAATAATCAACAATCTATCCTTATACACCCATACATACATACATATATATACATATACTTGTGTATGGCATGCAGGTGGAGAAGTAGTGGTGTTACTGCGGAGAAGAGCAAAGTGAACAAGGTGAGGAGGAAGATGAGAGAACCAAGGTTCTGTTTCCAGACAAGAAGTGACGTTGATGTTCTCGACGACGGCTACAAGTGGCGAAAATACGGTCAGAAAATCGTCAAGAACAGCCTTCACCCTCGGTATTCTCATCAATTCCATTGCCCTGATTTCTAATTAGACTTCTCATATATAATCTCAGTCACGTGATATCTGATAGTTTCGTAGCAATACGCGTAGGGGTCTTAGCTTTATGATATCATTATATTCTCTGCGAGTCTCACTATATACTATCGACCCTTTGCTCAAGTACAAAGAACGACAAGACTGCTTACACACAAACACACACATATGTATATGTATATGTGTATATATATGTATGCCGAGAAGATATTGATGAAGATACACTGCAATATCCTTTTCCCCTGAAGGATTCGTGTAATCATTAGAAGAACATTAAATGGAACACTAGCTTATGTAGCTGCTAATTTCTTGTCTCGTTATAACGTGCATTGTCTTCACGTTTCCCAACTATATATACATATCATAACCTCGCATTTTCTTTTCGTCTGCTTAACATCAAATGAGATTTGCATGGCAGTGATCGTACGTTTTTATGCCATTAGAGGCTGATTACATATATATATATATATATATATATATATATATATATGGTGGAAAATTCTCGTGTCAATTTGTGTTTGTTGGACCTGCAGGAGTTATTATCGATGCACGCACAATAATTGTCGGGTAAAGAAAAGAGTGGAACGACTATCTGAGGATTGTCGAATGGTCATTACGACGTACGAAGGCCGACACAACCACTCTCCGTGCGATGACTCAACTTCCTCTGAGCACGAGTGCCTTTCCTCTTTTTAATCTCTCTCTCTCTCTATATATATATACACACTGTCCTATATGCGATCTGTATATCATATGTGTCTTTAATGCGATGTTATAGCTCCACTGGTATGATATATATATATACTGGAACCGTGGTTTATGCACAAAGCCATTCATTAAACTATATCATTGTCGTTTGTGAACAAGACGTATTCTTACCATATATAAACCATGAGAAATTTGTAACGGCCGATTAGATTTTTATAATAAGTTGACATATATAGCCACCTGCATCTAGATTAAGAGGTACATAACCAGGATTAAGAATACATTATTAGCCGCAATTCCTATAACTAAACTACTAAGTAATACTGTAGGTATACATATCACCAATATACTTGGCAACAATTTGCAACTACAAAACACGATTATATGTAGCCACTCCTTTCGAATCTATCTTTTATATTCGTACAGTTAAATCATGCAGCCGGAGCATAATCATAGCTGCCATCGTCGTCGTCATCGCCATTTTCCACGACGAACGCAGTTTGAGAAGAGTAGCAATGGCTTCTACCCGTGTAATCATCCACATTGCCTTCACCATGTGCTTTGCCATGTTCATAGAATAACACCAAGGCGGAGATTGAAGGCATAACTCTCTCTGTTTTCTGGCTTTGTGGGAGAAAGATTTCAAGCGATCGGTGATTTTGGTTGAATTAAAATCTGGTTATGGAAGGAAGGGAAATGGTTAATAGGGGATTTTATAGAAGAGATCAAAAGGTGAAGCAAGTGGCGAACTCACTTAGTCATCAGCTGAGCCTCACTAGGGAGTGTGATGGGCTTCAGGACAAGTGTGTCTCGCACATTACATATTCCCTTCGGACATTATATTCCCTGACACATAGGAATATATGTGTCTGTATTGGTCCACCTCCCTATTTATTATATTGATTATGAGATGGCTTTTTTATTTATTTATGTTGAGTATTGTTTCAATACATTTCTTTATTTTTTTTATTCTAAGGAAAATATCATAAAGTTTAAACATTTATAAAGATCTACTCTCGAGGCAGTGATTCCTCTAGCATGATTTTGAAGATCGTTTATTATAAGAATGTTTTGGAGCAGTAATACGTTATAATTATCTAATATAAATAAATTTTAATAAAATTAAATATATGATAATATGGGATATTTTTTCAAAAATTATACTTACTATAAGATTAAAAAAAAAAATACATGAGCCGAATAGAATTAAAATCCGACAAAAAAAAATATGAAATTCTTCTGTACCAATACACACGCATTAGATATACAGTTTTACATATATTTTACAAAAATAAAATACAAAAAAAAAAAAACATATGAACGGGCATATAGACTGATTCATTAGTGTGGGCCCAGCCCAGGGCCTCCTTCTATGTTGTTTGATATGTTAAATCAATAGAATGGCTAGGCTCATTACATCTCTCAAAACAACATAAACATAGGCTAGGCCTACTACTTAATGGCCCATGTAGCAGCATCTTGAAAATTGCATCACATTTTGAAAATAAATTTTCATCTAATTTGTATTTAATAAACGGGTTAATCCCATAAAACCCCCGTATTTATAAAAACATTCAATATAAAATCTTCAACTTATATTCTTCCAAACTTAATAAAATTTTTGATGAAAAATGAAAACTTGTCATTTTCTTATTTATATATATATATATATCTATCTGTATGTCTATATGTATATATGCATATATGTGTATGCATATATATACATTATTTATATTGGACCCATATTTATGACAAATTGACAATGGGATCCTTTGCCACCATTATTTTAATTAATTTTTTTTTTTGTAAATCTTATAAATTTGTAAATAAAATTTTAAATGTTCTATATTAAAACATTAAAATTATGTTTGCCCTCTATAATAAATTTTATCAGGCCGTCACTGTATGTATATATAACATATGAATTTGATAAAATTAAGAAACCTAGGAAATATTTATTATTTTGTGAGCAATTTTTAACACCAAATAAATATTTAGGGTAAATTTAAAATGGTAAAACAATAAGCGATTGTATTGCAAATTCTTTTAGATTTTTTTTTTCCTTTTCTTCTCTTTCTCCTTATTTGAACTGTCACTTTCCTTGCCCCACTCTCTCTCTATCTCACACACACACTATCTCCCTCTCTCATGCTCTCACCCTCTCTTTCTATCTCATTATCTTTTCTTTGATCTTTTTGACTTTGTGATCCCAAATTTGAATTTCTTTTTATAAAAATCGAAGTATTTAGGGATTTTTGAACGACAAAAAAACGATTTAACTGGGTAAAAATTTATCGACCAATCAAAGTTTTAATTGTAGGAGAATAATTTTAGGATGATAGTTTACTGATTTGGATTATCGACTATTGATTAATTATGTATGGAGAATATCTCAAAGTTGTTGAATCGGAGATCGAGAATTAGAGCGAATCTTTAGATATTGATGTAAAGATACTTACAAAATTCTTCTTTTTTTTCTATTGACTTAGAAATGAAAGATACTAAGGTAGATATCAAGTGGATAGAATTTTGAGGGGAGATGCCTTAAAGTTTCTTGGAAATTAATGTTGTTATGTGGATTGATGGTTCACACTGAACGCTTTCACTTGATTCGCCCAATCCGTATTCTAGGTTTTCGAAGAATCGTTTTCGTAGAAGCACGGTTGGGGAAGAAGATGTTTACCGGAATCTTGTACCTTTACCTTTCCCCCGTACTCTTGACCGCATAGAGATGGAAAATGGAAGGACCTTTGGCTTCTTTAAAAGTAGTTCTTTGTTGTACTACGAGGAAGAACCAGAATGCAACGCATCATTCTCCAAACAAATTATGAATTTTCCGAACAAGAAACTGGGTAATGCAAAAACAAAACATGGCGTAAATGATCTGTTTAAGAGGGCATTCTTGAAGACGACTTTGGATTTGGTGTTTGGTCTGACGTATTTCTCTAGTCATCTCGGTTTCTGACAGTTCGATCCACATAAAGAACATCATCGATCCACGACACGACATTGTAAGCAAGCCCTTCAAGCACCCTTGAATAGCTCTCTAACACCGCCTTTCCTACATCCTGCACAAACAACGGCCAAGAACAAGAACTTTTTTTCAGAAAAAAAAAAACTTTAGATCCTCTAACACCGACGAGTTTTTACACTCCTTACTCGGTTGAACTGAATCTTGCAGATGTCCAAGGATGTCTGAGAAAGCTCGGGATACCGCTGTTTGAGGCAGAAGAGGAGGCTCTTGGCACGAGCTGCAAGCACGTGGTTCTTGTCATTGCATTCGTTGTCTGACAAATCCTTCGTGGAGAAGGCGAGGCCACCGGATTTGCGGCGCCAAGTGCAGAGGGAGGCTTCCACTTTGTCCGCCAGCTCGAGAGCCTCGTGCTCCGACGTTATCTTGAGGGTGTCGAGTAGTTGGTCGGGATAAAACTTCTCTGTGGTGCATAGCTGTTTGTATATTGCATCTCCCACACTCGCTTTTCCGCTCTGTCACCACTCGAAATTCCGACCATTGAATCAACTTGAAACCGAGTATCGGATTTGATGATATGTTATGGTTGTGTTTGGTTTTTACTTTCGAGATAATTTGTAACTATTAGGAGAAGAAACGTATAGTAAAAGTGATTTTCTTTTCCTTGGATTTCTTATTTAGATTTCGTGTCACAATTTTTTCAAGACTAACCTTTGGAAGAGTAGAAACGTAGGAGTCGGGAATGTCCATATCGTTAAGAGTCGAGTCATTGATAGCCATTGCGGCTTTATGGATCTGATTAGCGCAGTCGCGCTTGTGGCGAAGCTGTTTTCTCGCCTCCTCGGATAATCCCTCCGCCGGAACGCAAGGCACGGGTAACCACCATTTCTCGTCTTTACGCTGCACCACAACCTTCCTGAAGTTCCCGGAATCCCGGCTGCTCGAACTCATCGACGTGCTCCCACGCTCCGCGTACCAAAACTCGTTATCCGTAAAACTATCCAATATTTCCTATAAACAGATTCATCCCATTCGAGGTTTAGGGTGAGTCTTCTAAAGATTAGACGGTGAGTTTAATAATGTCTATGGACTTACCATAAGCATGTTATCGAGTTTTTTCAGCGCAGGAAGATTCATGAGTATATCAGATCGTAATTTGGTTTCCATAATCTGAGAATAAAAAAATTCGAAGAAATTAATCGATATATCGGAAGATAATAATGAAATTGAATGAAAATACGTTATACCTCTACATTTGTGCCATTCGAACGAGGAATAACTTCGACTATATAGTCACATATCGACATGAAACAATGCATCTCTCGTCTCCATAACGCCTTTTTCTCCGGGCTAAGCGGCTGTAACCTTAAACTCTGACCGAAAACCGTAGCTGCAAATTCCAAACAACCAAAAATTGATAAGTAACCATTTTCTAACGTGTTCTGTCTACTGTTATTTATTATGGTTAATGACGAGACGAACCGTATAGATTGGTGATGGCGTTAGAGACTGTAACGGCGGTACAAACTCCTTTCCCACTTCCGGACATGTCCTCTCCGAGCAACAGCTTTGAAAATCTTTCTTTCATCATTTCGAGTTCTGAATCGAAACCCGATTAAGAAAATTCATCCAAAAGAAACAAACCGGAAGCGAAAAAAAAGTTACAAAGATCTAAAATCTACCTGCTTCTTCAGCAAAAGTGTCTTCATTGCCTCCATCATTGTCCTCTTCATCGTTCACTTGCTGTTTGTCGATGGTTTCACAGTCGCAGTCACTAACGTTATAAGCAGATGGTTGCGGTCGGTTGTAGAAGCTGTGTACGTCAAAACGGTTGGAAAATCCCAAGATGTCAGAATAAGTTCGCCTATACGGAGAAGAGACAGAGCTTGTCGGAGTTCTAGAGATCTCGAGCTCGTCCTGATCTTCCATGGAGTTGTTAATGTTGAACTTATTTTCCTCTAAATTGGATATCGCTGTCTCCATCACGAGGTAAACCTCTTCTTCTTCTTCTTCTTCGATCTCTGCGTAAAGAATGGGTGCTTAAGCGGTGAAATGCACGCTCCGGCGAGTTTGGACACGGCCGAGGGAAGAAGACATGCAGTGTTCAATGTCTTGTGCTTTGATGGGTGGAAAAAATGTATGTATATATATATATATATATGTGTGTGTGTATGATGCATGGAGCCCCACCTCTTGATTTGCAAATTTGAGAAGTTAGAGAAATAAAAAGCAAGAATATGATTATATTATATGCTTCTGAGATAGACGTGCCTTCCACATCTCGTCACGCCAAGTCATTATAGAGGCTGCTGTTTATGCGTTTGGCATATAATAATAATGTACAATCCAAGTCGGTCCACGACATATTGCATGGTGCTAGGGTCGTTTATGCAACCCAACGCATAAATGTAGCGTGGGTGAGGTGACCCGGGATGTAGTCCAGGTGGCAAATATCGAAACGGCATGCAGTTCATGCATATATCTGGGCCTTAACGGGCCCGAATCGGGCGTTGTAAGCCCATTAAAGAAAATCACGGGCTCGTTCTCCTTGGAGATCAGGGAATTTCTGGGGATTGAAGAAGAACAATTTAGCTAAGAGAAAGAAGCAACACGAATTCGGTCTCAAAAGTGTGCTACTCTCGATCTCCACGCCCGTTTTATATGGGTTTGATGTTTATTGCGAATTCAGATTCTTATAAGATTCCCAACTTGTTTTTGGCGGTGGTCATAGGAGAAAGAGGAGCGAGAGAGAAGAAGGCCATGAAGATTCAGATGAAAGTGAGCACCTTTTCTGTCCCTCATCGCTTGGTGGGTTTGTATTGAGTAAATCCAGTCGCTTTCTGTCCGTTAGATGAGTTAAACTCGCGTGTCTTGATGAATGATGTTTTGGTGTTTCAGGTTGTTCCGTTAGAAATTGGTGAACAACTGTGAGATTCATCCGCTGTTTCTATTTTGAATGATCCTCAATGTTGTTGCCATGTAAGAGTAGGATTGACTACTTTTCCCCATGGCCTAAGTGAATAATTTCCTCGTGAATGGGCAATCGAAGAATAGGTGGTCCAATGGATTCCTCTTCGTTCTGGCAAAATTGGCACGAAGTAGCGAGATCAAGCTAGCCCCCAAGCTCTCATTGGGTCTTTGGTTGGGCAATGACTTAGTATAAAGAGCCATGTGAGAAAAGAGTGTTTCGGAATGTGGTAGAGGAGGTCTCTGCTTGGGCCTATGAAGTCCATTAGAGGATCCAACGATGTCCAAGGGTCATGCCAAAACCCGGTCTGATTTCCATTATTCCCCATCGCTACAGAAATGAATTGTTTTGCCCACGGTCGGCTCTTGAGTAACTTCTTGAGAGTTCCAAGAATGGCTAGCATTAGGGCTAACCTTAAACAAGAATCTACAAGTTGATGGACTTTTCTTTTTCCTTTTTCAATGTACGAGGAGTTGACGATCTGAAGATTGTGATAAACTTGGTCCCGTTTATACGAATTCTGATATATTTTATCGCATCAAGTTGACATAAAATAAAACGACCTTATTAGATACCTAGGGGTGAGGCGGATGTATCATGTGTTGAAATATACCGGATCTTGAAGAATATTATGAGATATATCGTATAATGGAGATCTTATCAAATCCGGAAAATATATATTTAGAAATATTTATCATTATGTCTAGTTTACTTATTCAATGTAAGACTCTCATCTATTTATATGTAATTTTGGTTATCAATAAAAATATTATTCCGCAAATTTCTACATGGTATCAGAGCATGGTTGCGATCTGAACTATATGTTTCTCTTTTTCTAATTTTCTAATCTCTTTTTTGTTTTGCGTTTTGGATGTTCAAATATTCAAATCGTTCAAAGGGAGAGTAAAAAAACCAGATTCAAACGATGTGCTATGACAAAAAGAAGTCAAAGCTAAAAACTCTAAGATCAAGCAAGATGTTATGACAAAAAGAGTTAAAGCTAGAACTTTAAAGTCAAGCGAAGTGATTTGAAAGAGGTTAATACTCTCTAAATGAATGAAATTTGGTTTCTATGGATTGTTCTAATAACAGTGAAGTTTTTCATCATTTTGTTGTATCTTCAAGATTGATTTTTGAATTCTTTCAAAATCAATCTTGAGGTGGAATGTTGAAATAGAAACAAAATATGGAGATTTGATATGATTGATAACAATTAAAGGCATAATATCGATTAAGAATAAAATATATATCGTGATAATTATATTTTGCCTTATTTATTTCTTTTGTATCTTTATTTCCTTGTTTCTTTCAATAATTTTTCCTATAAATGTATGGATTATTTTCATTGTAATGCAACAAGAAGAAGAGATGTAGCAATAAAAGTGTTTCCGTTCTTTTATCTTTTGTTCTTTCTTTCTAATTTAATTTCCGCATTTTATTTTTCAATATGGTATCAGAGCCTGGTTCTTTTCTAATTTGTTGTTCTTTTCATAAAAATGATGATCGATAATGAGAGTGAAGATGAAGATGATGATATACCGATCCAGTGGTAATATCATTTCGAGTTTTTTTTTAAGAATAAGAGAGTCATTTTATTTTTATTTTTTTTATTTTCTTTCATAATCCCACATGTTTCTAAAGATTATTCGCATAACCGCCAATCATCTTATTCTTGCCAAAAAATTTGTTGTCATTAAACGTTTTCGCGTAGTTGCCTTTCAATCTCGGATGAATCAGAGTTATTCCCGAGACTTCCTTCTGCACCGCGATTGTCGTCCTTTTTTTTTGTTATCATCAAACGATTCTTTTGTGCATGGTGTCAAAGTTGCAGCGCAATCGTTTGTTTGATTTTTTTTAGTTATGTCTTCTATTGACACGAGTTCGCAAGGTGATGTGGTTCAAGCGGCATGCGTTTGATCATCTTTTCAGCAAGTTGGACGTTTCGTGATCTTCCACGCTCCAACTTGAAGGGGGATGTTGAAATATACCGGATCTTGAAGAATATTATGAGATATATCGTATAATGGAGATCTTATCAAATCCGAAAAATATATATTTAGAAATATTTATCATTATGTCTAGTTTACTTATTCAATGTAAGACTCTCATCTATTTATATGTAATTTTGGTTATCAATAAAAATATTATTCCGCAAATTTCTACATCATGTGCTTTGATAACGTGGTCTTGTTATTACAAGAATAAATTTATGATGCATTCGCAGTATATATATATAGAATCTAGTCCATTCCAAATATATTTTAAGGTTCGATTATAATACTTTAGCTCAAAAAAATCGACTTCTTATAATTATAAGGTATGTGTAGGAAGTGCAGAAAGACAAATCATATTTATATCTAAGAGAACAATTCAAAACAAGAAATGAAACCAAACCGGGGAATTACATAACCAATATAAACCGGACTAAACCAAGAGTTTAACGCTTAATATTTTACTAATCATATTCATTTCTTCTGTCTGCACCATGTTTCCATTCAACACTGATTTGTTTACTTGTAGCGTAGACTATTTGATGATTTGACTTCGCCGACAAATATAAGTCATCGGATGAATAAATTGACTTATAATAATTTTTAAAATCCCAAGAAAATTAACAGTATTAAAACTATAGAAAAGACTTTAGACTTTGGTTGCTTTGGTATTCATCAATCCCTCGTGAATTCTTCACATCTTCCGCAGAGATATCGGCCTTGAACCCATAAACACAGATTAGTTATCCTAATCAAACCTTAAACAAAATGCCTTGAAAAGATTATCCCGTGCCCTCCACCACTAAGCTCTGTCGTTTTCAGACCAAACCCTCTTCTTCTTTTCTGCTTCCATGATTGGATCGAAGTCATGGGAGAGAGCGTGCAAATGAATCATCACGTGGTTCAATCTCCGGGGACACAGAAGAAGAACGCATTTCTGAGCATAACTTGCAAGCTGGCGAAGACATGGGTCACGACAACTATCGTCGTCTTCGTCTTCTTCATCATTATCATGGGCGCTTCTCTCTGTTGGATGGATATGGTATGTCCTCTCATTAATCCAATTTATCTATCCGTCTTTGCATGTCCCTAAACAGCCGTATACGTAATCAGCGTTTCACATTAATTGCTTATTTAGCTTTTACGTAATATGAATATGTAAACGTTTTATATGATTCGAGTTGTCTAGACACCACATTCATACGCCATGTTATTTTCCATTCCCAGTAGGAATGGGTATTGTCTCCGTCTCAATCTCACGAGACTCGGATACCCACGAGACTGAAATAGGAACTTGAGTAATCCAACCATAAAAAATTTACGAAACTATATTGATTTATGTTTATTTCAGGGATATATAGATAATTTTACGTGAAAATAGATTAAGGTGTTTTTGTAAATATATAGAAAATCGGGAATATTTTAGTCATTTTCTAAATCGAGTATGATAACACGTCAAAGGATATTAGAACCCGAACACGAACCCATCTTCCGGATTTTTCGTCTTGTCGAACCTGTCTTCATTAATCTCGTTGTTTTCTCAGTATCCGAAATCTGATGACGGTGAGATTCTGGTATACCTGAAAACCCACCGGTCTTAGATAAATAAACGCACACATTTAGCTTCAAGTGTACATTAATACATAAATATTTATATATCTTTTTAGGGAGAATCACCAAAAAACTCTATACTTTTTTTTCTAATTGAATAAATAAATTGATTATGGTTGGTCTATATATATTACCGTACTTTTAAATTATTTAGCCAATATATTCTTGTTTCGGAACGATGTTGATAGAATTTAAAAAAGAAAATGGCAAAACTGATGTGAGATTAACGAATTTGTAGAATTAGTATATCACGCTCATTACAAATAGCTAATTTAAAATAAATAATAAAAACTAATTAAAAATAACAAAAATATAAGAATAATAAAAAAAATTAAAAAAAATTAAAAATTACAATACCTGTGTATATACATGCATACATATACAACATATACTTACATACTATACATACATATACATATACATATATATATACACATACATATATAGAAATATATACACATGCATATATGAACATATACATATATATACACATATATGTATGTATATATTATATATGTATGTGTGCATATGCATCTGTACGCGTATGCATTATAATTTTTTTTTTCAATTAATTTTATTATTTATTTATTTTTAAATTGGTCGTTTGGTAATCGTGTTGCATATTAATTCTCGTGTACATGACTTGATAAGTTCATTAATGTCACATCAGTTTTGCCCTTTTCTTTCATAATCGTCGTCACCATCGTTACAAAACGGATATATTGGATATTAGTTTAAAAATACTATAATATATCGTCCAACCACAATCGAATTTATGGGGTTAGAAAAATGTACATATTTTATTAGAGAAAATAAAAAAAATACAGAATTTTACAATTTTGACAAAAAAACACCGAATTTTTATTTTTGTCAAATAAACATTAAACTTTTTAAATGAGTTTAAAAAACACTAAACTTTTTAAATGATCCAAAAAAATACATAAAATTTTATGCGATTGTAAAAAAAATACCAAACTTTTTAAACGATTCAAAAAAACACATCAACTATATAAAGTTGAAAAAAAAATAAAGACAATAATTTGACACGTTTGCATCTCTTTTACCACGTCAGTCGTTTGTTTATTTTGACAATCATAGAAGAGTTAAGTATTTTTTTACAAATTTAAAAAGTTTAATATTTTTTTGACAAAATCAAAAGTTTAATGTTTTTTTGTCAAAATTAAAAAGTTCAGTATTTTGTTAGGATTTTTCCTATTTTATTACAGTAAAAGTATAAGTTTTTTTAAACAATTCTCCGTATTTTTATTAATATTTTGTACATATTTGTTTATAGAGAATTGAAATAGAAAACGCTAGTTTTATTGTTATCAAATGATTGAATCATATATATGTATATGTCAGAATCAATATAAAAAGTCAAAATAAAGTGTATATATATATATATAACCTTGTTTTCCCTGCAATTTCAACGAGATTGAGCCAAATCCACGTAAAATTGAAAACTATATGTGAATATTTGTGTGTTTTGGTTGTCTCTGTAGCTCGTGGTAAGAGGAGGTAGAATCCAAGTAATTCCTTTCGCCACAAGAAACACCACTGATATCCCAAAGGCACAACTCAAGATTCCACTGAACTGCACAGCCAATCAAACCGTCTCTCAGACATGCCCATCAAACTACCCAACAAAGCTGGAACTCTCAGATCTCGAGGCGGAGTCCTGTCCTGACTACTTCCGGTGGATCCACCGAGACCTGGACACGTGGCAAAAAACCGGCATAACGAGAGAGACGTTGGAGAGAGCAAGACCAGTGACACACTTCAGGTTGGTGATAAAGGGAGGGAAAGTGTACGTGGAACAGTACGACAAGGCGTTTCAGACAAGGGATGTGTTGACGATATGGGGGATACTACAGCTTTTGAGGTTGTACCCTGGTCTGGTTCCGGATCTCGAGCTTCTCTTCATGTGCCACGACAGACCCGCGATTTGGAAACGCGATTACGAAGGAGTAAACGCCACGTGGCCTCCACCGCCGCTCTTTCACTACTGCGGTCACAGAGACGCGTTTGACATCGTCTTCCCTGATTGGAGCTTCTGGGGTTGGTAATATATCATCATATATAGCCCCCTCTTTCAGCATTCTCTTTATATATATATATATTACAAAACACATACATGACTGTGATATATGATTTCATGGTTTGCGCAGGCCGGAACTGAACATAAAAGCATGGAACAAGTTATCAGAAGCCATAGAAGAAGGGAACAAGAGGGTGAAGTGGAAGGATAGAGTACCCTATGCCTATTGGAAAGGGAACCCTAGAGTGTCTCCTTCAAGGAAAGACCTCATGCGTTGTAACTTCTCCGACAAGTATGATCCCATGGTTCATCTTTATGCCCAGGTATACACACGTTCTATCTATGCATATTCACAAGCATATATACTTAATTTGCATAAATTTCGCAATCTTGATCCGTTTACGCTTCCAGGACTGGGGGAGGGAAATAGCACAAGGGTTCAAGGATTCGAAATTAGAAGATCAGTGCTCCCACAGGTAACAGACACACACACACACATATATATATAGTTTCGATGTTTTCATCAGATGAGGTTCTCTTGCTTTCTCTGGTCTTGATTCAGACATTGAGAACTTAAAACGTGTTCAAAGGTACAAGATTTACATAGAAGGGGTGGCATGGTCAGTGAGTGAGAAGTACGTCCTAGCATGTGACAGTACGGCATTGCTGGTAAAGCCCGAGTTCCACGATTTCTTCATCAGAGGCATGATGCCAAAACAGCATTACTGGCCAATCAGACCCTACGGCAAATGCGGGGACATCAAGTTTGCTGTCGAATGGGGCAACAACAACACCGGGCAAGTAAGTGATCAAAGACATATATATCGCATCTGTAAGATCTTTAATTAAGACCGCCATAAAAGATTCGATTTTGTGAACCGGGTGTCTGTATATATAGGCGGAGGATGTAGGAAAAAGAGGAAGCGCATTCATACAGAAGAATCTGGAGATGAAATATGTGTATGACTACATGCTGTACGTGCTACAAGGATATGCGAAGCTGTTGAAGTTGGAAGTGGAAGTGCCAGAAAACGCAAAAGAAGTGTGTTCGGAGACAATGGCATGTCCGGTCAATGGAGGGGCGCTGAGGGAATGCATGGATGACTCGTTGGTGATGTCTCCGAGTGATAAGGCTCCTTGTCTGATGCCGCCTCCTTACGAGGAAGACGAACTTAAGGTGTTTCTTGAGAGAAAAGAAAGCGCGGAGAGAGAGGTCGAGAACTGGGCGAACGAGTATTGGGAGACACAGAACAAAGCCTCAACAAAGTAAAATCTGTACTTATACTACGTTAACACTTTGAATAATAATTAGTTGAGGACGTTAAATTATGATAAAATATTTCTAACTCTTTTGCACTCAAAAATAAAAATTCCACCCAAAATTGGATGATCTAAGATAGACAAAACATGTTTTTATCCGAATTTAAATCCAAGCATAAGAAGTGTCATTCATCCAAATTTTTTCAAGTTTTTTAGAAACGTAGTCCGATCAAAGATCCGATAAAATTTCGTATTAAAAAAAAATTAAGTTAGAAAAATGAATTCAAATTATAAACATCCCAAAAAAAAGGGTGAGAGATAGAGAGAAGGCCCAAATGAATCGTCATCTGAAGGCCCATATTTAAGGCCCATTAAGAGAAGAGAGGGGTAGAAGCGTAAATTCATCTTAAATACAGTTTTGAGGTTCTTCTTGTCCGAAAATACCGGTTGCAATGTTTCTATGTCCGGTTTGGTATTAATAATATTAAACCGATTTAATATTTCTTTTGAAATCCATTTTTGAATTGTCTTTAGTTATGTAAATTTCAGAATTTTTCACCTTTCATTCCGTAATCTGTCGAAAAAATTTAATTAAAAGTTCAATATTTTTTTTTAATAAAGTATAACAACTCAAAAGATGATTAATAGTTTTTTATTAGTTAAAAAAAGAGGATTAATAGTTTAGTTACGAGTTAAGGGCCCAATTGTGCATGCCGCAGCCAGATAATTTTATCCTTTCGGTTTTAAAATCATCCCACTATATGTGTTCATCGACGACGTGCCCAATCATGATTAGAGAAATGATTAACGAATAAACGTGTTTTTTGAACAAGTCGCAGAAACATACAAATATTAATCAAGTTGATAGCCGCAATCTCACAAACTAAATATTTCCTGGAGAAATTAAGATTTTACAATTTCAATACAAAAATAATTCCAGGTCAGAACACTTTACAGGATGCCTGTCCGAAACAGGATTTATATGTGCCGTGTGTGACAAGTCTCCACGACATTTGACAATTTGAAATAATTAAAGACAATTAATAACAACAAGTGCTGAGAACTACTAACATGTAAATTCTGAAACTTTCAAATCTTTGTCGATTCCCATTTCTTTCCTCGTTCTCGGAAACCGCAGCAGAATTCTGGGTTTCTCTCACATTTTCTGTTTGTTTCCCGAGAAAAACGATTCGGCGATGAGCAACCTGAAGCTGGGTGTTGAAGTCGTAAGCGCGCGGCTCGGACACAAAGGCAGGAAGACCGATGATGGGTCGTGTAACGCTTTCGTCGAACTCCATTTCGACGATCAGATAGTCAAAACCTCGATCAAAGACAACGATCAGAATCCGGTATGGAACGAGACGTTCTTCTTCAACATCTCAGATCCTGAGAACTTATCGAATCTCGTCCTTGAAGCCAACGTCTACCTTAAATCTGCAGATTCTAAGTCATTCCTAGGAAGGGTTCGAATCCTCGGAACATCGTTTGTCTCCTTCTCGGAATCGATTGTGTTGCATTACCCTCTGGAGAAATGGAGCATCTTCTCCAACTCCGCCAAAGGAGAGCTCGGTCTCATGGTGTTTGTCACTGATCATAACCCGTCTCTCAAGCCATCGAACCCTTCACCTGCAATGGAATCTTCTCGCCGAAGACACAGAGTTCGAGACCCGAAGACAGAAGGGTCAGCAAAGAAGAGAAGCCCTGTAAGAAATTCTCAGCATCAGCAGCAGCAGCCACCGGTGGTGGAAGCTTCTAGAAATCAGACATCGAATCATGGACAAGAGGAGACAAGATTCGCTGGTCCAATGCCTGTAAGGTCTGTACAGATAAATCAGGGTTTGAACGTGCAACCACTGGATTATTCGATCAAAGAAACGAGCCTGAATCTTGGAAAGGGCAAACGGGCAAGTGCCCATGATCTCGTCGAGCCTATGGAATTCCTTTTCATTAGAGTTGTGAGAGCTCGGGACCTTCCAGATATGGATATAACCGGCGGTCTAGATCCATATGTGGAGGTAAAAGTCGGAAACTTTAAGGGGAAGACAAGGCATTTCGAGAAGAACCAAAACCCGGAATGGAATGAAGTCTTTGCCTTTGCCAAGAGCAATCTGCAGGCAAGTGTTCTTGAAGTTGTTGTCATGGACAAAGACGTGGTGGAAGATGATTTTATAGGGATGGTTCGGTTTGTACTCAGTGAGGTTCCAAAGCAGGTTGAATCTGACAGCCCATTGGCGCCAGAGTGGTACAGACTCGCAGTTGAGAATGGAGACCAGACCAAAGGGGAGATCATGCTTGTTGTCTGGTTCGGTACCCAAGCCGATGAAGCTTTCCCGTACGCAATCTATTCAGATGCATTCCACGCCATTGACAAGTCAAGTGTGCGTTCTAAAATCTATCATTCTCCGAGGCTATGGTACGCTCGTGTTACTGTCATCGAGGCACAAGACTTAGTCGGATTAAACAAGACACGACTTACGAACGCTTATGTAAAGATCCAGTTGGGAAACCAGGTTGTCCGGACAAGATTTGCTCAATCACAGAACTTGAATCCAAGATGGAACGAGGAATTCATGTTTGTGGTAGCTGAACCATTCGAAGAACGTGTGATTGTCTCAGTGGAAGATCATATCACTGTTAACAAAGACGAATCGCTTGGGCGAGTGGACATTCCTCTTGATTCATTCGATAGACGTGCTGATGATCATCCCGTATCTAGCCGCTGGTTCAGTCTTGAAAAATCTGGTTTGTCGGCTCTGAATGACAAGGAACATCCTCGAAGAGTCAGATTCGCAGCCAGGATTAACCTGAATATCTGTCTTGAAGGAGGGTATCATGTTCTCGATGAATCGACTTATCACAGCAGCGATTTCAGGCCGACGAGTAAGCAACTGTGGAAGCCATCGATGGGTATTCTTGAGCTCGGAATTATAAAAATTGAAGGTATAAATCCGATGAAAATGAGAGACGAGAAAGGAACATCCGATGCATACTGTGTGGCAAAGTACGGACACAAATGGGTTAGGACAAGGACAATCACTGACTGTCTGAACCCGAGGTTCAACGAGCAATACACATGGGAGGTTTACGAACCGGCTACTGTCCTGACCATCATCGTCTTGGATAACAATCAAATCAATGGCACAAAAAACGGCGGCGGAAGAGGAAACAAAGACGGAAAGATGGGGAAGATCCGCATCAGGATCTCCACTCTGGAATCAGGACGAATCTACTCGAATTTGTATCCACTTCTTATCCTCAAACCTTCAGGAGTCAAGAAGATGGGCGAGATTCATTTGGCAATTCGGTTTTCTTGCACATCGATGTTTCAGATGGTGTTCCGATACTGGAAGCCTCTTCTTCCGAAGATGCATTACGTAAGGCCATTGACTGTGGTGCAACAGGAAATTCTCCGGCAACAAGCGGTTAACCTGGTGGCAGCTCGCCTCAGCCGAGCAGAGCCACCATTGAGGAAGGAGGTGGTGGAATACATGTTAGATGCGAATTCTCACCTCTGGAGCATGAGAAAGAGCCGAGCCAACTTTTCCAGATTGAAATCAGCTTACTTGGGTTTGCTCGGAACTGGAAAATGGTTCCAAGATATCTGCAGCTGGAGAAAAACAGCAGTCACAGTGGCCGTACACATTCTCTACTTGGTCTTTGTCTGCTCACCAGAGATGATTCTTCCAGTTATGTTCCTCTGCTTGTTCATGTTGGGACTGTGGAACCACAGGCACCGTCCGAGACAACCTCTTCACATGGATACACAACTCTCGTTAGTAGAATTTGTTTATCCCGATGAGCTCGACGAGGAATTCGACACAATCCCATCATCCCGAGATCCCGAGATCATACGGGTAAGATATGAACGGTTAAGAAACATTGCGAGCAGAGCTCAGAAGGTGGTGGGAGACATGGCGGCTCAAGGGGAGAGACTTCAAGCTCTGCTAAGCTGGAGAGATCCTCGTGCTACCTCCATTTTCATGGCGTTCTGTTTGGTTGCGTCTGTAGCTGTTTACGCAGTCCCGTTCAAGGTGTTCGTCCTTCTGGCCGGGTTTTATGTCATGAGGCATCCCAGATTCCGACGACAAATGCCTTCAGAGCCCATCAACTTCTTCCGCCGGCTTCCGACCAAGACGGACTGCATGTTGTAGAATCCAACTAGAAGAAAAAACACAGTTGCTTCTTTCTACTAACCTAAATTGTGCTTCTTCGACATTTTTTCTCGCTGAAATCACCCAAAGGTGGAACCACCTCGATCGCAATCAAACCCTAGAATTTCAATCCCAGAAATTCCCTAGTCTCCAAGGAAAACGAGCCCGTGACATTCTTTAATGGGCTCACAACGCCCAATTCGGGCCCGTTAAGGACCAGATACAAGCATGAACTGCATGCCGTTTCGATCTTTGCCACCTGGACTACATCCCGGGTCACCTCACCCCCACACACTACATTTGTGCGTCGGGTTGCATAAACGAACCTAGCTCCATACAATATGTAATGGATTGTGCATTATTATTATATACCAAACGCATAAACAGCAGCCTCTATAATGACTTGGCGTGACGAGATGTGGAAGGCACGTCTATCTCAGAAGCATATAATATAATCATATATTCTTGCTTTTTATTTCTCCAACTTCTCAAATTTGCAAATCAAGAGGTGGGACTCCATGCATCATACACACATATATATATATATATATATGTGTGTATGATTTTTTCCACCCATCAAAGCACAAGACATTGGATCGATGACGTGCTTTATGTCGATCGTACTGTCAGAAACCCAGATTGTCATATTCTTCCCATTTTTTAGTTCTACACAACAGCCTGAGTTAATCTGAGAAAATGGCCCAGCTTCTGTCTTTTCTACTGAATCCTAAACTACCAAGTTCCGGTCGAATGGCATGTACAATAGTATGAGATCAGACAAGGACAGCATATATGTGAAACTACATCAGCTAAGAAGTAGACAAGTTTTGTTCTGAGCATTCCTCTCCACTGTCCTGAGCAGATGGTGAGACGACGTTGAACTGAAACCTTGATAGCTGCCGAGGTAAAGCATGGAGAACTGTCTCGTAACACTGCAAAAAAACCCGAAATCCATCTTCTAAAATGCAAAATTACGTACAGAAGACGTGGATAACCCGGGTATAGGATCTTACTTGCTGCTTGCTGTGGAGAACGAAAAAGGGAACTGCTAAGAATTTCCAGTTCTTGGGCACTACAAACTGATCTTTTTCTGATAGGTGGACCAGGAAGAGTTTCCTGCATTCCGTCGACAGTTCAAGTATATATATAATGTGTAACAAATAAGGTCGAACACATGGACAAGCAAAATTCCTGCATAAATCACGAAAGACAGTTCATTACGGTTTTAGTTAGAACAGAGGGATGTAACTGCGAGGAGGGGGTTTACTTTCGGTTCTGTGACGTTTGGAGGGCAATAAGGGTACATATCCGGACCAAAGTCTGGCCTCCACCACTTCGCCACACAATCTCCGATCTGCAATGCAGCCAAGATGGTTAGTGACAGAGGATTCTCTGTTGTGGAAGATAAGAGAAAAAGTCAAGTTTGATTCATCCACCAGACCTGCCAATCAGGCTGTTCAGGAGAACGAGGCCCGAGCCTGTTGGAAAGTTTCCTTTTCAATCCTTCAATATCTGCTTCAGATCCGGAGATGAAGAAAGGTTAAAGTAGTTAAAAGAAAAAACAAAACAAAAAGGGTGGATCGAAAATAGCGAATCATCGGCATAAGTCTGGTAATATATAAACTGCATACCGTTTTCTCCTGGCCTAAGACGACCTCCAGGAAGTTTGCAGTGAGTGTTCCCCATTTGCATTAGTATAACATGTGGATGCCTAAAAGCTCCAATCTTTAAATGTACATATCCACAATAAAACATCACATTGTGATTAACCTTTTTTCTGGTTTCTGCACAAATTCCGGCCCCAAAGTGTATTCATACACACCAATGGCTTACCAGTAATATCCCTTCGACAGTGGTTCTCATCATGCCTTCTTCCGAGTATCTGCAACAAAGTTAGAGAAACCCTAAATCCCTACCAAGAATCTGATCAAGAAATCAAAACTCCGTCGCTCTTTCATAAGAGAACCTCAAGATTCGATCTTTAAAGCAAATAACTTTATCTGTCCCATATGCATTTGTTTCTTTCCCACCAACTCGGATTTCTGCGCACATCCAGTCAGAAACTACCATTGATCGAAAGTGCAATTTGAATGCACCGAAGGCATAACCCATAGACCCAAACATAAGAAAGAAGAAACCCAGAAGGGTCCGTTCCCAAAACAACTAAAAAGTGTGGAACTTTCGCACATTTTCTCGGGAAACAATCGTGGAGATGGAGATTAGAACATGTGGAGAGAGAAAGAGAGAGAGAGAGAGAGAGAGAGAGAGAGAGAGAGAGAGAGAGAGAGAGAGGGTCCGTTCCCAAAACAACTAAAAAGTGTGGAACTTTCGCACATTTTCTCGGGAAACAATCGTGGAGATGGAGATTAGAACATGTGGAGAGAGAAAGAGAGAGAGAGAGAGAGAGAGAGAGAAGGAGAGAGAGAGAGAGAGAGAGAGGGAGACAGACTTGGCTTTCATGCGGGCGAGACGATTGGAGACGGAACTGTCCTTTACGATCTCGGGGCCATCGTTGAAGAAGGAGTAGCTGGAGAGCGGGTAAATGTTCATGGACGGCGACATCATCTTTCTCCTCCGTACTCTCCCTCTGGTTCTTGTTGGCGCCTTCTTCCGCTACTACTGGTGCCTTTCCACCTTTTATACCTTCCAACAAAAAAATAATATTAAATTATACGTGCAAATGAGATTAATACTTGCGTATATGTATAATATATGCGTACAGAAGTATCCTAAGTTATTCTCGAGAAGAATTAACACGTGGCTCCGGTGGGGGAAAATCTCAGGAACAAGAACCCTCCAAGAGCGACGGTTTGAAAATGTCCAGGAAGCGAGCGCGAAGGCCTTAAATTGCTGGGGACGAAAAGACAATAATACCCCCACGTTATCCACAATTCGATGCCATTGTTGTGGGAGTCTCCATTAACGTGTTCTTCCGTGGAAATTCTGCACCCCTGGATCCCAAAACTGGCCGACATTTCAATATTAAGCCAAGATCCGACAAACCCACCAACCAAAGATCAAGACCTCGATCCATCTGTTGTTGTTTTGATTAAAAAAAACAAGGAAAAATGGCGTTCACAGGGATATATATACACACACACGGCATGACTTTTTTTTTTTTGTAAACCTTTTATAAATGATTTGTTCATTCTTTTTTCAAAGTACATGAATCAATCGATCTATCAATATACAACATAATTCACGCGTTAAAAAAAGGGGTCGCATTAACTAAATCAGAGCTCTGAAAAATTGCCGGCAGAAAGGAATCACATAGTATGAGACTCTTGTTTTTAAGTGTTTGTTCATGAGATGATGTTTTCAAGACATGAACAGAGCTTCACATTGTGCCTTTGTGTCGTCTGGACTCGTAACTGCAACAACAGAGACAGAACATAATTGAAAGAATATCCACGGTTCTGCATATATAGATTTCCGTCCGCAAAACGGGCGCCCGACTGAGATATATATCAAACCTACCGGTATGACCAATTGTTTTGTCCGACGTGTAAATTTCGTAATCATTTCCTCCCTGTCCAAGAAAATAGTTTCGCATTTCTCAGATTCTAGACAAAAAGAAAAGAACCTGATGGTTAAGTTAAAGGCGTTACCTCATAGGTTTTGTCACCAAAGAAGTGAATTTCATTGAAGTCCTTGAGGTACTGCAAGCAGTATGTCTTGTCCCAACCCTTTGGGAAAACCTGTTGTGACCATCATAACCACGGAAAGAGGCTCTCAATGACGAGTAACATGAGTTACTTTAGACCGATTGAACGTAAATATCGTAGAAATTTTACGTCATTCTACTCACATCAAAGCTTATTTGCCCTCCTATGGAGAAAGTGAGATTAAGATGTGAGAATTTCTTACGAAGTTCAGCCACCATCTTCGGTCGTATATTGTGAATCTGAAACAAAACGTTAAAGATAGCAATACAAAACGGTTAAACATGTTACGAAATCGGGCCTGGTAAAAAGAAAACCTGAGACAAATAGTTCATGACCTCGTCATATTTCTCAAATTCGTCTCTTTCGTCTTGGCTGCAGTTACGACCAATTGGTGACACATTGAGCATTCCATTCCGGAATTCTATGAATGTCCCCCTAGAATACAGTCCACGAAGAAAATCTTTAATAACTTTAAGAGCCAGAAAGTCTGTTCAAATGCAAATTGGTGATCCATGCACCTTTTGATTGGGATGTCCAAATCTGCAATGTAGTGTAGCGTATAGTTTATAAATTCCTGCACCATCAGTTGCAGACTATCATGACAACCATATATATACATTTACATATACATATACACACATACATGCATACACTGCTGAGCATCCATAATTTTAACAAGTCTCGCTGCTGAGCATCCATAATTTTCAGATAATAGACCACTATAGAAACACTCAGCAAACCAAAAGACAAACATATGTCCTCACCTTGAGTTTATCTTCTCCAAGGAACTGTTTCAGGTCCTGAGAAAAAAATATATATATTCAAACAATTAAGGTGGTATGAGAAAAGGGTACGGAAATGACACACGAAAAACGATCAAACTGCTATATTTTGATAAATAAAAACCATAGCTTCGATCGTGTCTATTTCCAAACAATACCAAGTGAGGAGTACCTCTGTTCCAATGAGTTGCCCATCTTTATGGGCAACAAGACCATTCTCAGAAAACGCATAATCGTAGTCGTTAATAACTGCACAACAACAACTAAGAAAGTTAAGCACCAGAATACCAGATGCATACTTTCGGGATGACAAGCAAGAATCCCATCAAGAGAGTAAACATCAATGAAGGCTCTTTCAAAATCAAACAAAGTAAAGCTGAAACATTCATTTCCATCTCCAATTCCTTCTTTACCACAAAATCTCAAGTGCCCAGACAAATTCTCTGTACATCTGAAGGACTCATATTGCAGGGGGCATCTAACAAAAATGGGAAGATCCTTTTATGAGGACGACCAGACTCTTTGTTAAGATACTGAATTGAATGGACAAGATACGAGGAAAAGAGGCACTAGAACTCCTGCCGCAAATTCAAGCTGGTCGGAGCATCGCCATACCTGATTTCCCGAGTTGCTCAGATATCTTGATGAGATCAGATCCACCGACCACACCGACAGTCACAACCTGTAATTGACAGAGACATTTCGTCGAACACAAACCAAACACAAAACTTTGAACAAGTATCACAATCGAATCTACCACAAACCTTACGCAGATCGCGCATGAAATCGAGCATTTCTTGAGTCGCCGTCTTCCTAGGGGCCGTGAGAGTTCCATCGACATCGAACAAGGCGATCACACCGGGCTTCCTCGCCGGCATTGTCAATGGGGAAGAAACAACGAAGACGGAGAGTTTTTGTTTTCTCAAGACTGAAATGTCAATGGGGAAGATGCGAATAGATCGAGCCGATATAAGAAAATAAGGTGTTGCTTAAGATTTGCTCCTCACTTTAGGCATAGAGATTGATGCTACATAGATATTAGAATTAAAAATAATAACGATAAAGCCAAAAGAACCCCCATAGAACGAAAAAATCTTAGACTAAAAAGAATCATCTAATATTAATTTTTAAATTAAAAATTAATTATATAATTTCATTTCATTTTAAATTTATATAAAAATCATCAATTATTAGTTTTAATTAAACAAATCATTAACTATTAATTTTAATAATAAAAAAATTATCAACTATTTAAATTATTTTTAAAAATATATTTTAATTTTAATATAAAATATATAAATTTTAAAAAAATATATAAATTATAATCGCAATAAAATTTAATATTTATATAAATTAATTACACTATAATATTTAGATTTTATATAAATATCATTCTTTATTAAATTTATAGAATAATATTATATTTTTTACAATTTTATCATATATTAATGTTTGACATATTACAAACTTTCAATTTGTTTTTAATAAAAATTTAGTAATTAAAATATTATATAATATGTAATTTATATATATATAGTCTAACTTAATTCAATATGGTTGGTCATGTCATCTTGATAGATACTAATTTGTGATTCGAAAATGTTTTATGAAACCATTACTACTGTTAATGTATTTACATGGTAACACACACCACTAGGAATAAACTCACGTGTGGAATGTCATAAAGATGGTGCATTTGGTCAAACAACGAGTTATAACATGCGAGAAGATGTCCTCCGAGGATTGGACTGAGCCAGATTGAGATCGGACCAAACCGATTTAGGGTACGTGACGAGTGAAAAAGTTTGTTTTGTGTCTAGTTCGGACCAGACCGGTACTTGATACATCCGGGCCGAATTAAGACTCAGAACAGGACTGGTTTTCACTGTCCGCACATATCAGATCAAGTCCGAACCGACCTGACTCTTGAAAAAGTTTCTTTTTTCACTTGTTTAGGATTTTGAAAGGGAACACTATCCAAACTTAAAAAAATATATATTCAAACTCAAAGACATGACCTAGAGACCAAGAGAAGCATTCTCTTTGTGATCTATCTATATGGATATGCATAGAGTAGTTGTGTTTTCGATCCTACGTGATCTATTATAGGTCTCAAATCGTTATATTTTGAGGTTTTATCGAATTTGAGATAATTATTTGATTTCTATTATGATATACACATTATTCGGGTTTGCATGATGAATTTTTATGATGTTTTATTTTTATTTTTATTTTTTTGCTTAAAACCTATAAATCAATCATATTTCGGTTTGATAAACTTTTATTTTAGAAACCCATAATATAACCCAACATTTATATATAGGGACATAATATTTGTTCGTCCATATAAATATACATGCATATAAAAAATAAATATATATATATAAATGAAATACATGCTTATATATATGCTCATATGTTTATACATATAAATACACTTATATATACACAATATATATATATATATATATATATATATATAAAATACATGTTTTATGTTTGTACGTATAAATACAAATATATATATATACAATATACGTATATATAAAATATATGTTAATATATATACTCGTCTATTTGTATGTATAAATAAAACATATATATACATAATATTAAATATTGAACTTTAACCAAATTTTCAGATTAAATACTCAACTATCTCATTTCCAAATTAAATACTCAACTATATTTAAACTGACAAATAAAAACCAAACTTTTCAAATTTTAACATATATCTTAGAGATAATCCAAAAAAGACCTTGTACTTTTTTTTCGTCGCAATTTAAACTCTATACTTTTTTTTAATCCAAAAAAACCCTATACTTTTCAAAATTTTAAAAATTATACACATTCATATACACATATTAATTATTATAAGCACAAAATTAATTACACATTTATTTTCCACAAAATTAATTACACATTTATTTTATATATTTATATGTATATATATGTTTCTTATATATAATGATTTTTAGGAAAAAATACATATATCACACATATATAAAACATATATATAAAATAAATGTGTAATTAATTTTGTGGAAAATAAATGTATAATTAATTTTGTGCTTATAATAATTAATATGTGTATATGAATGTGTATAATTTTTAAAATTTTGAAAAGTATAGGATTTTTTGGATAAAAAAAAGTATATGGTTTAAATTGCGACGAAAAAAAGTACATAGTTTTTTTTTTTGGATTATCCCTAAGATATATGTTAAAATTTGAAAATTTTAGTTTTTATTTATCAGTTTAAATACAATTGAGTATTTAATTTGGAAATGAGATAATTGAGTATTTAATTTAGAAATTTGATTAAAGTTCAATATTTAATATGTGAATCTCCCTATACATATAGGTATAGTTGCATCATCTTTGGTGATGGAACTATTTTCGTCACTACTGCGACGCAATAGTGACGTAAATACTACGTCATTTTTTACGTCACTTTTACGTGTATGAGTCCGTAAGTATTTTGTACGCGTAGATTCGATATAATTAGAAATTTATATCGCACTGAATAAGCAACCGGAACCAATTTATTAAGAGAATATGAAAATGATATGAATCAAATTTAATTATAACTATAAGAAATCATTAAAATAAAAAAAACAAAGCAATCATGAAAGAGAAGCAGTGTAGTTCGCAGGTTCAGGAGCAGTCCAGTACTGCTTCACAGCGTACAAAATCTTCTCTCTTTGGTGAGGTCCCTTCTCGTGGTCGGCTATTCTTCCTTGCCACTGCAACCCTTTGGTTATTCTGCTGACCTGAATCAAGATATCAACATCGTCTCTGATTATTATTCCACCTCCTGGTCTCAAAATCCGGTCCATCTCCACCAATATATCCTCCGGTTCGCATTTCTCCCGGTACAAGCTGAATACCGAATCGGCGTGTATGAAATCGTACGTTCTCGGGTACGTAGACATGGCTTCGCACCTAAAACCAAACCGAATCAGCAGACCAAAACTAAACCGTATCAAACCAAAGCTAGATAAGGAGCTAACCAGTTCTGGTAGGTTCCAATTAGACCGCGTTCGTAAACGACACCAAGTGTGTTGACACTGGACTCAACCGGCACGATGTTCATGACCCAGACAGGATCGTCAACGAGAGCAGCTGCGAAGCCTCCTAAGTAAGCGTTCATGTCGAGCAAGTTTCGGTATCTTCCTCTTTCGGCTAATTGGTTGTCTAATGTCTTGTAATAAGAAACCCTAGTTTTCCACAGTTGCGTGTTCTCCAAGAAAATATCCTTCGTGATCCCCTCCACTTGGCCACTGCTTATTCTCGGAGGAACTGCATTGAGTCTCGCCGGCCATTTCTCCAGTTTGGTCTCTCTGACTTCTGGCAATGGCGTCAGACATATCTCCAGCTTCGTATACCTAAGTTGAAAAACATCATATAACAACATTACAGTTTGGGTATAAAACTGGGTAGTCTGAGAAAGTAGCAGGACTAACCAAGCCATGTCTGGATCAGGATTCATGCAGAATTTTGGTTTATTAAGCTTCTGTCTGGTTTTCTTGCAGTGAATGTGGTTAAAGGGCTTCTGCCAAATCGCGAGATCGTCTTTCTGCACGAGTTTTTTCCAGCACAAGTTTCTCGCAACACGCTCGATTTGAGTCTGTTCGGATTCCAGATCTTCCATCGTCCTTTCCCACCCTTTCCATCGGTTCTGCCAATTGATGGGCGGCCCCGACAATATCCAATACCCTCCTGGCCTTAGAACACGATCAACCTCCATCAGATAAGTCCCATCTGCGTGTACATATCACATGAATTTCAGAAAAAGGCCGTGATCCAAGCATGAAAAGACAGACAATCCTTTTGACAATATACAAAGGCAGTTCTAACATGGGTAAGTGAGGACAGAAGAGAACTCGTACCATGCTGTCCCCACGGGATGAGACAACGAGAGCAATGAGCCAAGTCGAAAGCACGAGAAGGGTAAGGCAGCCGAATTGTGGCCATTATTCCGATCATTGCAGGTACGCCTCTCTCTAGAGCAAACTGCACTTGAGCTTCGTGTGTGTCTCTTGGTGCAAACGACATTGTTATTATGTTTCTTGACAGAAGATATGCCCCAAAACTCGCCACCTGAATCCATGAACACCATCATCAGATTAAGTCACCCAGATGTGAACAATCTATAAAGTAGTGTTTTTTATTAGGATTCGATTCCAATGTAGTAGATAGACCAAAAAAAATGTATAATCTATGAAAATCTTGAGTTATTTTGGCGTAGTTTTCATTCTTGGTTGTTTTCCTGAAATTTGAAAAAAAAAAATGCTAGTATTTTCAGGTTTAATGGGTCACACACTCGAGACAAAATTGTTGATATATGTGTATATATGGGCAAATGATGTTGAAAAATGTGAATGAATTCACATAAAATCATCAAATGAAATGCATATAAAACCATGATAAATGCTGATTATATCTCATCCCATTGTTTGAGCAATCGTCTATCCAACTTATTATAATTGTTGTATTGAATAAATTTACTCCAACGACTTACTAAAAGAAAATAATAGGCGAGCAATTATGCATTCTTGCAGTGTAACCTAAGGAAAAGAGAAGCGACGAAACATGAACCGGCAGAGAGAAATTCTATACGTACCCCGCAGCCGGTGTCAATGGCTGTACGGATGGATCCATCGGTGAGATCAATGAGCCGTCCGATATCATCGATGTACGCGTCGGCGCCACGTGGAAACATCGTGCCGCCCCCGGGAAACCAGAACCGGTCGTTCTCGTACCGGACCCAGTTCTGGTCCTTCTTCTCCACCGTGAGCTCCGTGTGTGGCACGTTGGCGAACCATGACACGTCACGGCTTTCCGGCCAACGGAACGGCATCTTGTAACCGTACGGCGCCGGAATCCGACAGCGTAGGACCTCGTCTCTCTCAGGGCAATGCCTCTCTCTGTACTCGAGTCTCTCCCTCGGGAACTTCAGCGATCTCTTCTGGTCCTCGCACGGCGTGTACTCGCTCAGCTTCACGTCGCACGCCGGGAAAGTGACTTCACGCGCCGCCGTGGGAGGTGGGTCCTCCGCCGTATGGTGTGCTGCGAAATCGAGATCCCGAGGCATAAGGGTCTTGTTCAATCCAACGCATCCGACAGCGGAGGTGTCGTCGACGGTGGCGCGTGGGATCACCGCCCGAGAGTGCTGCCATATCCCAAAGAGGTAGCTGGCGAGGCAGAGGAACGTCACGATGGTTATGTAATAGATTTTGGATTTCTTCATCCTCGCCGATGACACACTCGAAACCAAATTCATTTTTTTCCCGTTCTTAGATGTACAAAAAAACACGCGTACAGGTGTGATGCATATATTTATACATAGGCGTGTCGAGTGAAATTTTCAAGGTCCGATACGAAGTAGTTCGAGTACTGGTGAAGGTGAGATGTGTAATGACAAATGGGGGGGAAGCGAGTGAGCAGCACGCGCCGAAGGGTCGGCGAGTCAACGGGGTTTAAATAATTACATTACATGACAAAGAGCTTTTGTTGGATTAATACAGCGTGCGAGCTTTGCCTGTTGAGGGCACAAACGGGACGGAGGATATTGCCGTTCGCTGGATTTGTTTTACATCGTTTCCTTGTTTTTTTTTCCCATATCGGATTATTTCTAAAACCGGGATAATTGTGGAATTCGTATATATTAATTGAATGTACATAAGGTAAAGTATCTTGTATTTTTTGGAATGTCATTAATGTTTTTTTTCCTAAACTTACCTTTGATTTAACCATTTATGTGAATTCATAAAATAAACTTTCCCAATCCGTATCTTTGTTGCTTTCCAACGGAGATACGGTTGAGGAGCCAGGTGGCTTCGCTCTCCATTGGGAATTAATTTTCTGAAAAGAATATATATATATATATGAGGCGTAATGTTGGGCCGAAGACAAGCCCATATTGTCTATCACGAGTCTGGCCCATTAAGCCCAAGTGTTCTCCAACGTGATCGGGCCGAGAACAACCTAGCAAGGACAGAGATAGCCTCGTGTCCAAACAGTCCTCAAAAGCATGGTCTTAGACTCGTGAACCGGATCAGCCGATTGAGTGGCCACACCACCGGAGAAGAAAAGATCGAGGCGGAAAAATGGCGGGGGCGGGCATTGGTCTGCCATCCATCAGTTCTTGCTTCTCCTCTCTGCCTAGTTTCCGCCGTCGCCGGTGACGGACATTGGTCTGCCATCCATCAGTTCTTGCTTCTCCTCTCTGCCTAGTTTCCGCCGTCGCGGCTTCTCTCGGCGCAGATCTTTTGCCGGTAAGTGTGTTTGGAGTGGATGGTGGTGAATTTTGATATTATGAATTGTGGGATTTCGTTGTGTGGAAGGGAAATTTAGTTGCTGTTTTGATTCCATTGGGATGGAATCGAGGAAATTATGCTGAATTCTACTCCCATTTGCGTGAATCCGCTAAGTTCTTTTTCTTTTACCTTTTTTCACCTGATGTATTGATATTTGTTAAGTGGCTGCCATGAGTGATGATCCAATTCGTGAATGGATCCTTTCGGAGGGAAAGGCGACCCATATCACAAGAATAAGTTCTGTTGGTGGTGGATGCATCAACCTCGCAAACCGTTACGACACCGATGCTGGTTCCTTCTTCGTTAAAACGAACAGGTAAAATACTGTTAGTCTATATCTTCAGCCAGAACAAAATCTTCATGGATCGACCAATGTGACATGATTCTTGACTTAAATGGACATGTGACCTATGATGTTTTTGAAACCTGGTCAGGAGTATTGGACCCGAGATGTTTGAAGGAGAGGCTCTTGGCCTTGGGGCCATGTATGAAACCAGAACCATCCGTGTGCCGAAGCCATTCAAAGTAAATGAATATTCTTTCTGGTGTATGCATTCCGTTATGTTGGTCCATAGTCTTAAATTACACTCTTGTTTAAAAATGGCAGGTGGGGGCATTACCTACTGGCGGATCTTTCATCATTATGGAATTCATAGAGTTTGGAGCATCTAGGGGCAACCAGGTGTGGTTCTGAACTTTACTTGAATCTTCCATAGGAGCATCGAGTTTCCTTTCTGGTTTTCTTTAATTGGTCATGGTTCTTAGTCACCAGGCAGAGTTAGGGAGGAAGCTAGCTGAGATGCATAAAGCTGGGAAGTCCTCCAAAGGCTTTGGCTTTGATGTCGATAACACAATTGGCAGGTGATATGAAATTTCTGTTGAAAAGGCTTAAAGCTTTCCCTTTTGTTATCGGTGATTTTTCTTTTATACACAACAGAGCTACGCCCCTTTCCCATCTAGTACCCCACAGATCAATACTTGGTCATCGGATTGGATCCGGTTTTACGGAGAGCACAGATTGGGTTACCAGCTAAAGTTGGCAAGGGATCAATATGGTGATTCTGCCATATACCAGAAAGGTTTTGGTCTCTCTTGTTAATTTTATGATTGCTAAGGCCCAGATTAGGTGAGATTTATAAGGAAACTAATATGGAAAAACTCTATCAACAGGTCATAGACTTATAAAGAATATGGAATCTCTCTTTGAGAATGTCGATGTGGAGCCTTGCTTGTTACATGGAGACCTTTGGAGCGGGAACATCACTTACGACAAGAACGGAGAACCCGTTATACTCGACCCTGCATGTTATTGTAAGCACACCCTTTACCGATAATCTTTTACATGGTTACACAAACCAAACTTGGTCAATCCGAAGATCATGAAACTAAATCCTCTACAGATGGGCATAGTGAGGCAGAGTTTGGCATGTCATGGTGTGCAGGGTTCGGACCATCGTTTTACAATGCATATTTCGAGGTATACTCTCTGAAAAATCCTTTTTCTTATCCATTGCTTAAAACCAGGATCATTGTTCATCGAGCTTGTGACCTGGTTTTTTACTTTTACTCTTCCATTACCTAAAAGATCATGCCGAAGCAACCGGGATTTGAGAGGAGAAGAGATGTATACTTGCTGTATCATTACTTGAACCATTACAACCTATTTGGTTCCGGCTACCGTTCCTCGGCTATGTCAATCATAGATGAGTATCTTCTGATGCTGAAGGCTTAATGTTCGGACACACTTCCAGGGAGTTGACTTGTACGAGATGACTATGCTGTATCATGTCTTGTATCAACTTCACGATATATGTCTTCATGTGAATAGGGTCTGAAAATATACATACAAGGGCCATTTTTCTTGTTCTTTTAAACAGCTTTATGGCCGAAGCCTAAATCCCGTTTATATTCAATGATATTCTATGTAAATATATTGGCTAATAATTTTTCTGTGCTACTATGTTAATTTTATTGTAATTATTGTGGATATATAAATTCCGGTTCGGTTTTATTTGGATTCAATTTATTTTTTCGGATATTTTAACTTTATGAGATTTACATCAAAAACCATATTCAAGAACTTAAAGAAAACTGTAAAAGAGAGAATATAAAACCAAAATGGAGGAAAAGAGATAAATGGGAGCAAAAATATTTATGTATTTTATTCCTTTTACTCTACTTCTTATATAGACAATCACATATACTCACACCATTATAATCACCAATATAAACACCAATACATATAATAGTTTGTTATAATGACGTAACAAATATTAACAGAAAATATTCTCTAAATATTCTCTAATATGCCCTCCTCAAATCTATTACTTCTATATAGAAAAAATAGATTTGACGATCTTCAAATCATTAAACTTCAATCTTCTATCTTCAAATCTCCAAATGTCAAGCACACCTTCACGGTATGAACTTTCCAAAAATGAAGCAAATAGCTTCAATGAACGCAGTCATTGTGACCGGAAAATAACCGATCGGATGGATATCGATCGGATAAACTAATGGAAAAGTACTTCCGAGAAATTCGGATTAACTGGTAATGAAACTCAGTATCGGATATTACGACTAAATGAGTCATGAACCATAGACGAAAAGAGATTATGACGAAGAAGAAGAAAAAAGATGATCTACTGAGAGAGGCATGCAAGAGACATAGACGGTTAGAGTAGAGAGACAACGATGAAGAACACCATGGTAGAATCCATGGTGGACCATGAAATGGGTTGATGCTAGGAACCGTTTCGGATCCTTTTCTGAAACTTGAGTAGAGATCAAAGCTCTAACTGTGAGACAGAGATTTAGGGACGTATACTCAAAACCCTACAATCAGGTGATGGACAAAAAAAGAGAAAAGAGTGCTGAAAAACCCAGAACCCGGTGAAAATCAAAATCCTGAACTCTCACAGGAATTTTGACAAACGCCTGGTAGGCAAATATTTCGCTCAGAGAATATAAACACTCGTAGAAATAGGTTTTTCCAACATGAAAGAAGAACACAATAAAAAGAAAATGATAGAAGAGAGAAATGCAGCGAAGAAGCAGATCAAGGTCTCTAATACCATTTTAAATTTATGAGATTTACATCAAAAGCCATATTCAAGAACTTAAAGAAAACTGTAAAAGAGAGAATATAAAACCAAAATGGAGGAAAAGAGATAAATGAGAGCAAAAATATTTGGATTAATCCCATAAAAATTACTGAACTTGTCTATGACTGGAAAATTAATTCCTAGACTTGCATGCTTCCATGAAAATTACTAAACTTGAAAAATATGTCAACGGAATACCTAAACTTGCTAAAAACTGTCACAATAAATTTTGACCAATTGTTGACTACACGGCGTTAAATGTGGATGACATGGCAGTACATGTGTATTGCCACATCATAATTTTTGCCACGTCGATAAAATAATTTTAAAGTTCGATTGGTTAGACCGATATTAAACTGATCCGGTTCAATTGTTTTTTTTTTAATTTCTTCTCTTTTCATTTTTTTTATCTCAATCGCGATTATAAACATTACCCAGTAGTCAACTCCATAGATCTATATGTTTCAAGTTGTAGGAATTTTTTTATTCTCTTCGGAAATTTGACTGCATTCTCTTCGGAAATTTGAATTTACAGTGATCAACGTATGAAATCAAAACAATAGAACTTTTCCGAGGGTTTTAGATCTCTGGTGCTCATAATCCAAATTCTTATTCTCTTTAAAAGAAGATCCAGGATAGAGTGTAGTCATCAACAGAAACAAAACAAAAAAAAATCCAAATAGAGAGAAACCCATAGAAACAAAATGTTGACATTAATTAGTTTTAGAACAACAGTGAATCTGGAAAATTTTGAAATCAACCCCAGATCTAGAAAACCATAACAAATTCAAAGAGGAAAAAATCATAACAAAAATATGAAAATTCTGATGGATTGTTAATCAGAAAGATCAAACTGACGGAAAACATTAAAACGAACTACGAGGATAAAAGAAAAAAAGGACATAATCCAGAACAAAGAAGATGAAACAGATGATCCCATCATTTACCCAAAAGAAAATCGGGTTTCATATATGCGTAAAGAGGAGGAAGAGAACATAGTAAGAAGAGGAGAAATGGAGGTCCTGCATTAACAGTGGGGAAGAAAGGGAAGAAGAAATAGAGAATAGTGGATGAGTTATTATTGTGCATTATTCCTTTATTATTTTTAATAAAACCGATTGAAACTGGTCCGATTTAATTCCGGTTCAATAAATCGAATTTTAAAATTATTTTCTGTGATGTGGCAATACACATTTTCTGCTATGTCATGCACATTTAACGCCGTGTATATCAATCGTTGGTCAAAATTTATTGTGACAGTTTTTAACAAGTTTAGGTATTCCATTGACATATTTTTCAAGTTTAGTAATTTTTATGGAAGCATGCAAGTCTAGGAATTAATTTTCCAGTCATAGACAAGTTCAGTAATTTTTATGGGATTAACCCAAAAATATTTATGTATTTTATTCCTTTTACTCTACTTCTTTAATAGACAATCACATATACTCACACCATTATAATCACCCATATAAACACCAATACATATAATAGTTTGTTATAATGACGTAACAAATACTAACAGAAAATATTCTCTAAATATTCTCTAATAGGATATCCAATTCGATTCGGATTCAGATTCGAGTTTTAATAATAAAAAATGTTATTTTATAAAGAAATTTATAATTTCTTTTATACAAAATTTGAATTTGATTTTTCGGTTTTAAAAAAATTGTAATTATTTTATTCTTATATTTCAATTTGGTTTATGAATTACCAAGCTACATCCAATGTGTTGCTAATTGTAATAGTAAGTACTTTTCATTTGTTAACCCGTTGAATTTATAATTGTTATTTGGAGTACACTTATTTTTATTATATTTCGAAACGAACAAAGTAAATCAGGCTTTAATAAATCTAGGCTCTAGCTACTGCTGATGCGACGCCGTTTAACGCGGAGGGGGAAGAAGAAGAACGCCAGAGCTTGTACCATGCGTTTTTATTTTGTTTGAAAACGCAGGAGTAAGTTGCACGAATCTCCTCGCAATTCACAAGTCACGAGAGCGTTTCCCGATCTCCTTTTTCCTTCTCCATCCATCCATTTCAGATCCATAGAATCCGTGAAGAAGAATATCCAGCTTCATCGGCTCTTTCTCCAGGTGACCATTCTCTTTTGGATTACTCCCGTTTTCTCTACTTGATCCGTTGTTGATGATCTGAATCTCTGTCGGATGGAACGAATTTCTGGAATTCAGGTGTGTTTTGCAGTGTTCGCGGTTACCATTTCGCTCCGACTTTGCTATTTCGAGCATGGTCGAGTCTTTGCTACATTAGAAAATGGTAAGGCCTTTCAATTTCTAGATTTTAGTCAGATAATTCCCGAGAACTGAGATCATACTACATTGGAAATTGGCTTAGATGTCGGCAATTCTTAAATTACAACAATATACAGGACAGAGATAGGATTTGTTGTTCTTGTTCTGAATGGGTCAGTATGAGATTATGTTTCCAATGTTTATGCCCGAATCTGCTTGCTTGAAATTTTCATTTCAACTTACTGTTTTACACTGCCTATTCTCCTTTTACATCTCTGTATGATCTGCAGGTTCGCAGTTATCGATTTATACCTATAGGTTACCCAGCTAACTAGTCATTTGTGCTTCTCCGTGATTTAGCTAACTAGCTAACTAGCAATTATGGATCCATAATGTCTTGTTCTTTTCTGGGACTTCAGTGCTGAGATGCATTGGAATCAACTGAGGAGGAGGGCCATCAAAGTTTTGAACTCATTTTCACACTGGTGTTTTTATGGTGATGAGTTGCTGTACTGTTTCAGGGCATATCGACAACAAAATACCCACAATAATCATGAAACTCAAAGAATGTTTGAAAATCCAGCAACCGTCCCTTCTAACAGTCCTCATCTCCGAAAGTCTGGTAGCAAATCTGTTTTCTCAGATCTAGGTAAGATCAATTTATTGGTTTCTGATGTCAGTCTTTTTCAAGTACTCATCAATTACATGGTCATACCTGTCTAAATCATGGATTCAGATATGTTGAACGGAAAAAGTGCCTTAAAACCTTATTAGTTTTCACTTTCTCTGTTTATCGAGATATGATATGGCTGTCTATTCCATATGTAACATGTTATGAGTTATATTACCTATGTTTCAGATTCTACTTTTTGACATATCCACCTACGGTCTTTTAATTTGTAATTGGGTTTTATTAAGGTGTGAGCGAGGTTCTAGGTAGCATATCAGATATGGGTGACTTGAAGAGTTCTAGCTCACCCCGGCCTGGAACAATGATGGCGCCTTCCCCTATATTCTTGTGGAGGTTTAAGGTTTGTATTCCATAATTGTGTTCTAGATAGTATATGTACGTAACATTGTTCTAAGAACTGCTCTGTAAAAGTACTCGAATTTGATCAAAATTTTCCCCTTGAACTAAATTTTCAGGTCCTTTTGTTTCTCCTATGGTCTCTCTGTTGTTGCAAGGTCAGTTCTGTTGGTTTAGATTCTTGAAGTTTTTTATGTGGATATGATGATCTTGGTTATTTTGTTGCTGCTTGATGGGCAAAGTTTGATTTGATCTGCTCTGTTTAACAGATTGGATGGGATTCAGTCATGAGAATGAGTGTGGACTTGCGAGATTTATTCTTGTACGAGGTGTTTCTTTACTACAACCCTCTTCTTCTAGTGGTGAGCCGAAACTTTTCTTTATCTATGTCTTGACTTCTTTGGACTGCTGATTATTGTAGATACTCACTTCAAGCTGGCTTTGAATATAACAGACAATGGTGGTTTGGCTCTGGGGAGCAAACTTGTGGGTTTTTTCTCAAGGAAGTGTTAATTATGCCAAAGTCTTTGACCTTGACCAGAACCACCTTAGTCATAGAGAGATATGGAAGGTATTTAAGTTTGAATTCTGTATTAAGTTTGTCCATACCATACCTCCGAATTTTCAACATGTCTTGATCTGCCGTATATTGGCCACAATTGGTGGTTGTTGAGGTTATCTATCAGACCTGTATGTCTTATCTATCTTCTACATCTTGTTTTTTATTCTATCTTGTTCTATTTTTCCTTGCAGTGTGGAATGTGGATGACAATCATCGTCCCAACTAGCATGACAGCGTATCTTTATCTGTATTCCCATGGAGAAGTATCATTGGCTGCTTCACAACCGGTATAGAATCTGCCACATTAGGCTATGTAAAAAATCAATATTTAACCAAATGTTTTCTTCTGCATCTTCACTCTGCTACCAGTATGCACACAAGTCTAAGACTTGTCTAAGGCTTCTTCTTTATCTGCTACAGGTGCTCCTGTACCTTGCTATTGCTTTGGTTCTGATATTTCCCTTTGATATTTTTTACTTGTCGACTCGATATTTTCTGCTGAGAACATTATGGCGTATAGCTGTTCCACTGCAGGTACGCTTTTAAGTACGAGTCAGTTAGAAATTTAAAAACGTGTATCGAAGGATATTGTGTTATATCTGATGTGAGACATGTGTTTTACAGTCTATTACATTTCCGGACTTCTTTTTGGCAGATATTCTGACTTCTATGGCAAAGGTATGGACTTTCTAGTATTCCTTCATAATTCAAATACAGCATTATGACTTGCTATTAATTGTACAGTGTTGCTTTTGTATTTATCTTTTGTGTTTCTTTTTATTCCTTCAGCTGCTAGGCTGCCAGTATTTGATTCTCATTCATTGTTTTGTATTGGTAAACTTATGCAGGTTTTGTCCGACTTAGAACGATCCGTATGTCGGATGGTACACAGACAGGTAACTGCCTTGATCAATGAACTCATTTACAAATATTATTGGATGAAGTGCAAGGCTTTGTGCTGACTCTGTGATACATATTTGGAAGGATCCCATTTATTGGACCTTACTTATCCATCGACCTAGCTTATGTGGTGACCTTTGTCTTAGAGGTGTTTTTGTCCCTATAAACTCCTCAAAGTAACACATCAGATGAATATGAGGGGCTCAATTAGATGCAAATTTGTTGAGTATCTGTTATCTTTATCATTATCACGTGTTATACAAGTAAAAAGGGCCCCTTTTATGTCAGGATAAGGAGATCTTGTTGGTTCTATATTTACTATTGATCTGGGATGATTTGATCAAGATGTAGCTACTAATGGCCGTCGAGCAAAGAAACCCAGAATTTCTATTAGCCAATCCATCACTATACTTTTATAATTTACCTGCGTGAACCTTGGTTGCCTGTCTAACCTGGGTTAGCTTCAGATCTTGTTGTCTGTTGTGAAATTCCCCATAAGAAACCAGTCTAAAGGGTGGCCGTTAACTTCCAGGTTGCAACAATAGCTTGGTTTGAAGCTGATTCTGTCTGTGGCAGTCATCAAATCGCAATTCCATTGGTTCTTGTTTTCCCGTACATCTGTCGTCTTATGCAATGTGTCCGGCAATACAAGGATACAAAGGAAAAATCAGCTCTTCTGAATGGTAAAAACCGCTCAACCCTCTTGAGTCTAATCTTACTATCCAAATTTTATTATATTAACCTCTCGATTCAAAATTCCGGATACATGGATAGACGCTATCACAATTCATAAACAAATGTTAGCCTCTCCGCTCTTTACCCTAGATGTTGAAATGTCATGTTATATTTTGGTTTTAATCATCTGCCCTACTAGATGTTCAATCATAAGACTTTCATTAGTGACAGCTCATGTCTCTGTCTCCATGGTTTCCACTTCTAGTGTTATAACAGCTAACTCATTGCGGATTTCAGCTCTCAAGTATTCAACAGCAGTGCCAGTGATTTTCCTTTCCGCCCTCAAATATCACGTCCTGCCAGAGAGTTGGACCTCATTTTACCGACCCCTTTGGCTTTTCTCGAGTGTCGTCAACTCGCTCTACTCTTTCTACTGGGATGTAACCCGAGATTGGGACTTGAGGTATGCACTTGTAACCAGTTCTAATCCACCAGACATTTTTGTCCAGTTGCTTCCGTAACATGTCTGGTCCTCTGCTTCTTGTCTGTTTTTCACAGCGGTTTCACTAAGATATTCAAGTTCAGCCGACCAAGTTACTTATCAAATCTGTTATACGGCCGCCAATGGGTAAGCCTTTCGAGATCAGTCAAGTCAGGCAGAGACGGGATCAACGCACGTGGGTAAATTATTGTTATTATTTTTGCAGGTGTATTTTTGGGTAATAGGAAGCAATCTGGTATTGAGATGTACGTGGACATACAAGCTATCAGCGCATCTAAGGCATAACTACATAACGGTGTTCACAGTATCAGCGTTGGAGATACTGAGGAGGTTTCAGTGGGTATTTTTTAGAGTGGAGAACGAGTGGAACAAGATCACTAAATCTAGCCTCCAACATCAATTGGGTGATATCTCTCTTGAACAAGAGAAGTTGCTCTCTTCTGCTGCCAACCTTCATGTATAGTCTACCATGTCTTAGCTTTCCTTTTTTGGCTCCCCAAACTCCTCTCTACTTTTTTTTCCCTCTCTTGAATCAGAATAATTCAATTTATATCTGAACTCTGGGATCTGGAACTTCGCATCAGGGAAAAAGTTTTTTTTTTTTAAACAATTGAGATTCTGTGAGTGAATGCATAGAAGCAAAAAAGGGAAAAAGTGGGTAAAAGGTGATATTCTTACTATCTTGAACTTTTGCGCTAGATAGTGGTGGTTAATTTGGGTTTTTGAATTGGTTTTAGTTCGGTTATATTTGGATTCTTTTTATTGTAGTAATATAAAAACTATAAATATCTGGTTTTTAAATTGAATTCGACTCGATTTTATTTTTGTTCGTATTCAATTTCAGTTTTTGTTGATACATAATAAAAGTAATAATTTTTAAAAGAAAAACCAATTATTTGTTTTGTTAGGTTCAAATTCTTTCAATTTTATAAAACGGTTGTGTTGTTCAACTTGGTAACAATGGATAGATTCATTTATTAGGCAAAATTAGTTGCTTCTAATGCAAAAATACAAAAAAAAAATTATCATTTAAGTTGCAGAATGAGCTTACTGTTGGGATGGCGGGGTAAGACCACCGAAGAAAATGTGACGACTATGACCATGAGGTGAGATTGTGACCACAACAACGAATTACGACCGTTATGGAATATGATCACGAAAAACACACGGTAAAGATGGAAAAACTCTCGTGACACATACATAATAGACGTTTTCCAAATAGTATATTTATCCCAAACAAAATTGTTTCGAGTAAAAGGCAAAATATTCTAGAAATACAACAAGAATTATGTTTTTTTTTTCGATAAACAAAACTTAGAAAAAAAAACTCTTATTTGAAATAGATAAATGATTGAACTCTTAATGATATAAAATCACCAAATGATAGCTTTATATATATGCATAATTTTACGTTACTTCATTTAATTAAACAAATTATTTATATTGGATGTTAATTAAACATTTAGTTTCTTTTTTACATAAAGAAAAGAAGTTTCATTCGATTAAAATTTTTTGTCAATTAATTGAACTTAACTTAACTTCATTGAATTTCCAATCTATTTTCAACAATCTTCATTAGGTTGCTAATTCCAAATAATCGACAATATATCACGACGACCAATGCATAAAGGATATGTATCGTTTATTTTTAAACTTTTCTTTAATACTAACTTCTAAAGATTCAAACAAGATGATCGTTGGATGACGCTTAAAAAGTCACCCTAAAATAAAGATCGTAGGAATTGTATACAAAGACGTTTACTATCAGAGTAAGAGTATTGATATCGAAAATCTAGGTGTAGAAAATGGAGTTAAGTAATAATTATTCTAGACTCAACAATAAACGCAAGTATATATATAATGTGTAACAAATAAGGTCGAACACATGGACAAGCAAACAATTGAATCAAACTTCTATTCGAAACTCGATATAAGGAAAAATATGGATGATGAGAACGTGACAAATATGTAGAAAGCAAGAAACAATCAAAGGAATAAACTATCAATGGCAAACACTATAGGTTTAGGGATTGTTTTACATGGATTTCTCTAAAGATTCAGATTCTGTGAGTTATAAATTCAATTCGGGGAATTTAAGATTCTATAACAGAGGTAAACCCTCTTGAGTCTAATCTTACTATCCAAATTTTATTATATTAACCTCTCGATTCAAAATTCCGGATACATGGATAGACGCTATCACAATTCATAAACAAATGTTAGCCTCTCAACACAATACATGTTCTATCTCATAAATTAGTTTCAAATTATAATCACATATCTCTATACGAATTAAAACTCTAACTTCATTTAAGGATAATTCCATTAAATACCTTGTATTTTTCTATCATCGTAATTTTAACCATTTATTTTTATTGATCCTATTAAACTCTATACTTATTATATCTAATAATAAAATATCTACACTTTTAAAAAAAAATGACAATAAAGTCCTATACGCAAAATTTGATTTTTCAAACATGGCAATAATTTTATCATATTCACATGACACATCATCAATTATCTATTATTTAATAATATTAAATAATAAAAGTAACAAATGGTTGAATATTTTATTATTATTATTAATTAATATTTATTAAATATGAGATGATTGATAATATGTCATGTGATTATAATGAAATTATTGTCACGTCAGTGGTGAAAAATCTATTTTTGCTGTCTAACTCTTTATTTGCCAATTTTTTATAAGTAGCGATTCATCCTTAGGAGTTTGACGGGGAGGAGGATAGCTAATACGTCCAAACTGCATGGCTCTGGCTCATCACCAAAACCCGAAAGGCCAAGTTCCACTCAGCTTTCTGCTGAGGATAACGCTGAAACTGCAAAAGAAACATGGGATGGGAAATCTGCAAGTACTATTGGCTCTTCAAACGTTGGTGGCAAGAATGTCCGAGATCACCCAAAGAAGGGTATGTACATTTGCTTCTGGAGATCTTTGAATGTCTTAATTTGTTGCATTTTCTTGTCTCCTTGTCGTGTTTTATGGATAAATTGCCATATAAGGCTGTACCTGTTGTGTTTTATTCTTATGCCGACTTAGTTGTTATGCTGTTTATGTCTGATTAACCATCCTTTTCCATTTTTGCAGTGCAAAAAAGTTGTTATCAAGCTCCAGAGGAGAATTGATAAAGAAGGCCAGCAGATTGTCCCTATGCTGACAAATCTGTGGAAGAGAATTCAGAATGGTTATGCGGGTGGAGGAGTGAACAATCTTTTGGATTTACGAGAAATCGATCAACGGGTAAAAAGACTCGAGTACACGGGAGTTATGGAACTCGCGTCTGATGTTCAGTTTATGCTCAAAGGTGCAATGCAATTCTTCGGGTTCTCGCACGAGGTATGATTTCCCTTTAGTTTCTGTCTTAACAATGTATAGTTTCACTTCCAAGTTTGATGGATCCTAAACTCGAGCTAAAACGAAATTTCGCAGGTGAGGTATGAAGCAAGGAAGGTACATAATCTCTTCTTTGGTTTACTTAAGATTGCGTTTCCACATACAGACTTCAGGGAAACAAGAAACGCACTCTCCTCCTCCGGCCCAATACCCTCTTTGGGTTCTGCGCCATCCACGAGATAATCAGGTAGCAGCAGTCAAGGGAAGAGGCAAAAGCTGATAAATGAGGTGGAACCCGAGCCAAGCTCCTCCCCTCAAAGGCCTCAACAAAGGGAGAACGCAAGGATCAGAGTGCATATACCACAGAAAGAAACAAGGCCTAGTACTGGTACTACAAGCCAACAACCAGATGACTCTTCATTGTTAGCTCACCCTGGTGAATTGGTTATCTGCAAAAAGAAGCAGAAAGACAGGGAAAAGTTTGTGATGAGGACTAGGCCAGGTGGGTCAAGCACGGCTGCTCACAGAACAGCAACGCTGGTCAAACCAAGGGACTCATCCAAACAACAGTGGGGAGCCGGAGGTGGTGAGACAGTTGGATGGGCAAACCCGGTGAGGAGGTTGAGAACAGATGCTGGTAAAAGGAGGCCCAGCCATCTATAGAGCTGTTTTTTTTTTCGTTTATGCACTTGAGAGATTTGCCTCCTCTCTGTGCATAGATGGCTGGATTGCGCATATACGCAAAGGGATGATGACCATAGTACTCAAGAATAGTAGTGTAGGCCCTGTCACGGATCACTCCTTTTGCACGCTGGTTCGTTGCCCCTTTGCTGATAAATACGGACATTACAGGTTCTCATATGACAGACGTGGGAAGAGTAGTAGTAGTTCTTTCCTACCGACAAAAGAAGTGTTACACTTTCCATCTGAGATCTGTGTTTGAGACATTTCAGTTCCGTTCACAGAGGAAAGGAATCAGATGAGAAATAAAAAGGCAATGTAACGTTTATTTACAGTTGGAGGAAGTTGTGGTCTTCCTCGTGAATGGGGTTTGAAATTATTTACATAGCGGAGGAGAGGAGAGTAGCCTCTCCATTTTTTCTTATGTACTATTATTGGGATATGAACAATTGAAATAACAAATGCAGAAGAAGCTTTCATAGTAGAGTCAGGTCAATGCATTGGAGGATGAATCAAAGTGTCAAGGATCGGCTTGGCCGACCATTTCATCGTCATCAGAGTCGGACCCATCTTCACTCATCTCGTCATCACTTGAGTTTTCCTCGGATGCAGCTCCAATGTCTACTGGTTTGGCATATCTCTTACAGTATTCTTCATGGTCGAACCAGAACCGGTCAGGAGAGTTAATGGGTTAGCATTATCGCCGAAAGATAAGGGCAAGGGTAATATCACCTTTCACTTTCTGTTCGTAGGCGGCACGGTCTCGCATCATCAGTGATGCAGCCTCTCCGTTGAATGGGTCTGATGGGTTTGGATACAGAAGAAGTTGTGGAAGGAACACCTCGAACACATTCACAAGGTCTGTCCAATAGTATTAGGGAAGAATGGGGGATGAGAGGCAATGGAAAGAAGGAAAATATTCTATTCTTTATTACCGAACATGGGGCTCCATGTCTGATTTATCACATCCAGACATACTGAACCGGAACTGCACACAAACATATACAGCCCCACGTCAGAGCTCATGAACACTCTGAAACCCAATTTCACATCAAGTAAAGAATTCACTCACCTCTCATCCACATTTGGGTGGTAAATCTTGTTGACGAATCCTACAGATGGAGATTTGTATGGATAAGAATCTGGTAATTCAACTCTTATCCTCCAGACACCTCCCTGATAAAGACCTGTCACAGTCAACCATTCGATGCATAAGCAGATGATGGAATTTCGAATCATATATATGTCGGGAGATTAATCCATCACAGGTTCATATCATTTGGTTCCACTGAAAGAGACTGGATTTGACTTTCTATCCTCAATCCGATGATTGATATAACACTGTAAAGCAGCAGTAAGATCTATGATAACAAACACAAAACTCAGCCGTCCATACATTTCTACGAGCAGCTTGTAGGCTTAAAGAGAGGAAAAGAGAAAAGACGATGAAAGAAGGGAACTTGTGGATAATTACTGTCAGTGGGTCCATGGAATCGAACGTAAAATGCTCGCATCTCGTCGTTGATCATCTCCACCTTGTAATCACTCATCATCCTATTTCAATCACAAAAATTTCAGCAAGCCCACAAAATAAAAACTGATAAAGAAGCATACCCAGATGATGAAATTTCCAGAAAAAAAAAAAAAAAAGCAAATCAAAGACATTCGTCAAGGAGAACTGACAGACAGTTTCATCAGGTCCATCTCCCTGCGTTTGCTCGGTGAAGACATGGCTGTTATTGTTGCTCTTCTTCTTCGTCTTCTTCAGCGTCTTCTTCCCAGGGAGAGAGAGAGAGAGATTCTAAGATGAAAAAGGGAATAACATAATAAGCAAACATCAGAGAGAAGGGCATGCCTTGCCTACCTCGATTTCTCGCAGATTCCTTAATCCTTCTCTAAGGGACTTCTTTGTAATTAGTTTATAAACATAGAAAGCTTTATTTGCCGCTGTTCTATTTCTCGGGATTTCCCCATTGAAATATTCAAACATAGTAATCTTGAATTCAGCCATTAATCAATTGGATTATGACCACTTCGTAAAAAATCCAAACTTTTTATTTATTTATTTTTATCTCACTCCAAGCCCCGTGAATATGAATAATCAAATCAATTACAGAGGAGATCATGGCACCACAGCAAATGTGCCATTTAATTCCCCATTTTTTTCATTACACCTAAATGGAATTATAAATGGGTCCACGTCACTGCCCTTATCCATTATTGCTGCATCTAGTAAAGAACGGTTATTGGAATTCAGTATTCAATCACGCAACTTTGTCGTGCCACGCCACGCGGTCCAAAAAAAAAACTGATTTTTTTTCTCTTAAATTATTGATAGAGAATATCATAATTCAATGATTATATAGTTAAATTGTATAGCTTAATAAGTAGTATCCATCTTCCCTTAATATTCTATAACCAAAGCGTAATCCATAAGTCATTATCTTTAATATTTAATAGTGTTGTTAAAGACGTATGGGGCAATTCAGCGGCGTTCTTGTCCTTATGTTTTTATTACAGAAGAACCAAAACATGAGAATACTTTAGTTATATATATATATAAAATAAATAAATAAAATATATTTATGGTAGAGTATCCTATTACTGTTGATACTGACATTTTTTTTTGGGTATCGGCGTAAACTCAACCACAATCTTTCGGACGCGGTGATAAACTCTCATGACTCCCTGTAATAACTTGTAAATCACGTGGAACAAGTAAACCATCCAAAGAGTGACAAGCTCGCAGGTGAGCAGAATTGAACCCATAATCTCTTGGAGAATCATGGATTATTCAACTAACTCGCCATTTGGACACTGATTTATTATTTATATCGATATATACGTGAACACTATATGAACAATAATTCAGATTTTCAATAAGTTATTTGTATTATTCACATTGTACACTTTAAAAAAAATAATAAGAAAAATTGTGTTTCTCATCCTCTTAAAACACACCTTTTTTCGAGAATCTTATCCCCTTTCTTACCAAAAGTGACATAATCAATTTATATTTTTTATTAACGATCTGATTTTTTGGGCCATTGATATTTCTCCGATTTTAAAGTTATCAACACAAACGCTCTTTCGATAAAATATATAAAAGTAAGAATATTCATCTTTATAATACTACTTGTTTATCTTCTCTTCTAATATATGTACATATTGATGACATATATTTTAATGATATTTTGATATAAGATATCTAGTGTATTTTACTTGGTTTTATAAGTTTATAGGTATTTTAGGATGGTTATGGCTTTGATATTAGTTGTTTGTGTTATTTAGTGTCTAAATGTGTATTTATGCATAAAAAAGAGCAAAAAAGATGGAAAAAAAAGAGTAAAAGGGGTGTAAAATATAGATTAACGATAATATTTAGAGTTGTTCTGGAAAAAATTGTGAAGCCCAGAAAAGTCAAATCTTGCAAGTTCAATAACTTTCACCCTACAGGTTCAAAACATGCATTCTCTACATCATTGGAAAACTCTTTTCGATATTATCGCATAGACACCAAGATCACAACCACGTCCGAGTCATTATAGGTAGCTTGGGTTAAAAAAATAAATACCTACGGCGGAGGGGGTTCTTGGTTCGTAAAGACACAACCGCGTCACTCATTGGGCTTTTAGAAGGTTACTTAAACTTCGAAGACGAGCATTCAGTTACCTCCGCACAAAGATTGGTGGTGGCAAATCAACACATTTTTGGTATGACAATTGGATACCATTTGGCACTTACTAGATTTCATTGGTCAAACGGAGCCTTCTCAAATCGGCATGCATAGACGGGCAACTGTCGCTGAAGTATGACAGGATGGAAGATGAAGACTACCCCGAGCTAGAACGGATAGAGTCTTACCACACGGTAACATTCTCAAATAGGGATGATGAACGCATATATATGGTCTTTTACTGGCAAGGAAAGAAGTAGGCTTATTGCCAAGGATCTATGGAAACATCCGGAAAAAAAATGCGTCTGTCCCGCCCCGAGTTCGAAACCCAGACCGGAGAGGGAGCGCATAATTCAAATCACATGGCTGGCTCCCGACCCCGAGATTAGTCTGGGCCTCGGCTCAGGAAACCCGGTCACCCAAAAAAAAAACATCCGGAAAAAAAAAAGAAGTTTTGTGGCACAAGGGTGGTTTTGGGATCCCAGATGCCTGTACTGCAATCAAGGTCTTGAGTCAAGAAATCCTCTTTTCTTTGAAGTAAAGGACACTAATTGACAGGGCGTTCCGAAATAGATTCCCAAGACTTTACTCGTCTTGGCTTGTACTGATTCCCATAGCTGGTGTATATATCTTGCTGTCTTTTGTTTTTCCTGCCTCGGTCATGTGTGAACACATATTATCAATTTTTTTATATAGATAAATATATCCAACCTTTTATAAAAATAATAATAATAATAATAATAATAATGTCATGTAGAAGTTAGAAAACAATAATTTAACGTCGTTTCTTTGTAAATATTAATTTTAAAATAACTTAAAATTTAAATATATATATATATATATATATATATATATATCTACATAACAAATTTTTATCTCACATTTGACAAATTCGAAAATTTTTATGGAATTTTTTTATAAAGAAAAAGAATTAATAACAAGAAAAGATACGCCCACCGTACACGTGGCAATATATGGTTCTTCCTGATCTATTTTATCATATGTTCGAGAATTAATACAATATAAATAACAGCCAAAAACTGTATGGCGGTTAGTTACGATGCAATAATCTTATATTCTCGGAGAGATTAAATTAATCCGTCGAATTAATTTTTTTAATGTTCATATATTTATGAACGAGTATTTCGTGAATTTTGGAAGAATTACTTCTGTAATAAGATAAAATCTAGACAACGTTTGTGACATGACACCAATTTTTAGGCATACATTATACAGTATAATCAAACAGAGATTATACAGGCAGGGGAAACTAATAAGTAATAACCTTGACAAACAATTAAAGGTGGCCTAATTAATTAACCATAAGCATTCGGGTAATAAGCCCAAAATGATTGTATAGTGTTAATTAAACAAGATTAAGCCCGGAGCAAGGGAGAATGAGGGGACATCAAGCGAGGGGACATGGCGTGTTCATCGTACATCCTCGAAGAAAAACTCAGCCGAAGATTCTTCTGCCAACCACCACGTGTCTTGCTCTTAGAGTTTCCGACCACGAATTCTTGGATTCTACGAAGCCCAACTTCGAGCGTCTCCTCGTCCATGTTGGCGAAGCAGGCCCTGAACCACCCCGGTTCGGAGCAGTGGAACGACGAACCGGGCGAGACGTTGATCTTGACCTTGTTGATGATCACACGCCATAGATCCATTTCTGACTCAAAGCTCTGGTCTTTGAGCATGGGTCTGAGATCCATCCACACGAACAAACCCGCATTGCTTTTCAGGCAGGAAATCCCCGTCTGCTCTAGGCCCCTGGTGAAGATCCCGTGTCTCCTGGCCAATCTCTTCGAGCTCCGCGCGAGGAAATCATCTACGAATCTCTCATCAGAAAGCATAGCCGCAAGAAAACTCTGCGTGTGGGAAGAAACCAGGCCGAAACTCGACATCTTCCTCGCGCAGGACACGACAGCGTCGTTAAAGGAGTAAATGATTCCGACCCTGAAACCGGGAAGACCCATGTCCTTGGAGAGGCTGTAGACAATGTGGATGAAATCTCGGTTGACGTGATCCATTTCCTGGATGATTTCGGCGACGCTGGTGAATCTCGGACCGTGGAAGACAGTTGCCGCGTATATTTCGTCGCAGACGAGGTGGATTTGTTTGTCGCTGATGAAGCTGATTAGGGTTTCGAGAGTGACTCGATCGAGAGATGTTCCGAGAGGGTTTGATGGGTTTGCGAGGATGAGGCCTTTGATCTTTATGTCGGATTCTTGAGCTTTGAGGTACGATGATTCGAGGGCTTGTCTCGTTATCTGGAAATTGTTTGAGCTGTTACACTCCACTGGGATTATTCTCAGTCCGGTTCTCCACCTCAGGTCTCTGTCGAATCTGTGCATTGATATATACATCCACGTTAACTCATTTCCAAATGGTTCCGTGTCTGAGCATTGATTCAATCATATTACCGGAACAAGCATTGACATGAACTAAGTTGGCAGAAAACAAGATGTCAAATGCGAGAGGTATACGAATCAGTTTATGTGTTATTGGCAAAGAAAATAAAAACAAAAAAAAAATAGAGAAGAAAATGAGCGAACACGTACGCGGCGTAGTACGGTGTCGGAACGAGAAAGGCGTCGCCGGGGTCGGCGAGACAGAACATAAGAGTCTCGTTGGCGCCGGTGGCTCCGCCGCTCATAACCACCCTGTCCGGCTCGAACCTAACTCTCCCTCCTCTCGCTTTCCCCATAAACCTCGCTATCCCCTTCAACAACAAAAGAAAATATATATATATCAGAATATACTAAGTATCTAAAACATGTAGGGACGTACGCCACCGATATATATATATATATATATATATATATATAGATGTATATGTACACGTGTATATGCGTCACGTGATATATACTGAAACTAATTCGTAAATTATGTGAAGTAAAACTCTGTCATTCGATGGATTGCATCATCCTATTTACTTAATAAAGAGCTCATTATAGAAACATTTTTAGAGCTTTTCTCTTCGTATAATATATAGTGTAGCTAGTACCTGTCGAAATCCTGTTAGGCCGTGATAGTCTTGAAAAACAGCGACGTCGGAGAAGGCGTTGATGCCGTCGGGCGTGAAGATGGAGGCCTGGGGGTTAACTTTGATCCACTCTTTGATCAGATCAGAACAAAGCTGAATTAAAACCACATCACAATCATGTCAATAAAAATATATAATCAGTATAATGATTATCTTAATTTACAAATGATTAGCATATATATGTATATTAGCCGTTTTGAGAGGTCATGTTCAATTATATATATATATATATATATATATATATATAATTTCAAATTATATGAACAAATTAAAACAAAAATAAGCAAAAAATTGCAAGAAAAATAAAACATATCAATTATTAGACTTAACTCTATTTCTATACAATATTTGATTAAAATACTCTCTAATTTTTTAATATATATATATATTGACTAAAAAACAGGAATTAAAAGTTATTTATATTTATCATCAAATTCTATTTTTATTTTCTTTCGATAATTTTAAAAATTGTAATTTATTAAAATATTAAATATCCACTATAATTTAATCAAATTTAATCTTATTATTATTTAATTTCTAACTTGTTTTTTTTTTTGTTTTATCAAAATGTTAATAATAATTGAAGGCCCTGCGCCATTGCTCCACAATGGTACGTCCTCTAAAACGGATATATGTGTGTGTATATATAAATAAAGAAAAGAGCGACGAACTTGATTTTCGGCGAGGCCCATCTGGATGACGCCGCGGGGATTGCGAGTAGGGTGAAAAGGGTCATTGTCGTACACTTTCCAACCGTCGAAGTACGGCGAATCCTCGCCGTGTTGCTCGCCGGCGGCGATTCTCGACAGAAGATTCTCCTTCTTCGGCTGCATGTTCCTGTCGGAAGAGATTGCCGCCATCTTTTTTCGCATAAAAAAAAAAGATGGAAGAAATGCTCAAGTGTCGGAAGGTATTTGTCGAAGTTGCTCGGGTGACAAGAAACGTGGGGAGGTCGAGGAGTCTTTATAATGACAAGCCAGGGGGGGGGGGGGGGCAAACTCAAATGCAAACCAGGGAAAAGGTTTTTTTTTTTATAAATTAATTTGTATAATTGGGGATTTTAAATGTAGGGTTTAATTTTAGTAAGTAGTAGAGTGTATGATTTTATTTTGGATTTGTCCCTAAAAAGTAATACGAATTTTTGGGTTGTTCTGTAGAATTATGACATGTATATATATGTATACACACTCCTCCACCGTCCAAATTCAACTATTTTTTTTTCTCAGTCCGGTATAGTTTGCAGAAGGCCTTTCACATACATCACCATATCCCATAATAGAAGATTCAATTTCTAAAACCTTTTTGTATTTTTTTTGTGTGTGTGAAACAACTAATAATAAAAGAATTAATACACAATATATGCTGTGAACCCATATATATTCAGGTACTCGAAGTTAGTATTTACAAAAACATTTAGTAAGTTTATTTAAATCTATGCGTGATATAAGATAATTCCGGATCTAAGATGGACCAAAATGGTCCATATATAAAGAATGATATCGGATTTAGAGTGGATATAATAAGATTCGAAGAACCGTCTTGGTTATAAAAAAAAAAAAAACTCACCCATGAATACATCCGAATATCAAATATATCTCAACCGTCAAGGTTGATTCTTTGGTCAAACACGAGCGAGCGTAATTGCTTGCGTCACATCAGTCCAAGAAGTGTATTTTTAAGACGTGAAAAATGATGGAATGCATGGTGTTTTCCAAAATTGGATGGTCGGAGGGTTTGCGAGTTTCGAATTCTAATCGATTTTGCTACATTTCAAGAAATAGTTCTGTAAACAAAAAAAAAATGCGAGGATTTAATTTACCTCCCCATGTCACACGCCATGTAACACGTGAGAGAAGACACGGTAAGACTTTGCCACGTGGCAGCAATAAGAGACTAGGGGACTTGAAAACGATCTTTTTGGTCGGCTTTTCGGATCTTTACTTGTTTCTAGATTGCTTTGTCCACGTGATCCGCCACATTTTGAATTTAGAATTTTAGTCCAAATTAAATTAAATTTATTTTATAAATAAAATATTTATAATAGAGTTCACCATTACGGTTCATAATCGGATTATTGTTTACACTGATAACTGTTTATATCATATTTATGTGAATAGTAATTTCGATTTTTTATGAATAGAGAAAAAGAAGAAAAAAATATCTATTCTCTATCAGTCTAAACGCTTGATTTCATTTCTAATAGAATTCATCGTTTATAATTTATTGTATATACGTATATTAATATTTATATATATAATAATTTGAATTAAATATGTAATGGATTAAAACCCATTTAACCTATTTTAAATTTTTAATCAAATGAATTGACTCATTTAGATTTGTAATTGGGTTAGAATCGAATCAACCTTTATAATCCGATCCATTTTGACATCTCTATATAGATGTGGTATAGCTATCGCCCCTATAGAAAATGTTCCTATGAAAACTTATCATATTGGAAAAATAACATATAAATACCTAAATTTTTATGAAAATTTCACATAAATACCTAAAATATAAAACTTCTATATAAATATCTAAAATTTTAAAAATTCTATATAATTATGGATCATTAGACCGAAGTATTTATATACAATGATTTTATTTTTAACAATTATCCTTTTAGAATTGTAATTTAATTTAGTAAAAAATAAAATATAATTTAATAAAGGCAGGAAAATTAACGATAATCTACTGATTGATACATTAATTATCTCCGTATTTAAAAAATATACTTTTATTTATACACGATACACCCACTTTTGCTTCCATTTCGGACATCTTGAATTACAAATCACATTTTCACTTCTAAGTAAAAATGGTAACATTTTGGCTTAATGTTTTGTTCGAGTTGTGTTTTGCTATCTTGTTTCGGATATTGTCTAAAATAAAATAACTTAATCTACCTTTTGGTTGGCTGGGACACATTATCATTTTTTTTTGTCAATAATTCGAGTTTTATTAAGATAATAAAATTCATCGTTTTCCTTCATACAAGAAATATGATGTACTCATCGTTCAAATTAATTAGTTTTATATGACGTATTATATCATGCGATATCTATAATCATTAAAGGAAAATTTAAACAAATTTTGATATTGTGTGATGAAACTTTATTTTAAATTGTAATTATTATTTTGGCGATTATAAACTATATTTATTATATATTCATCAATTAGCAATGCAATTATCATTGACTAGAAGATGCGATCATGATAAGTACTACTAGAAATATTATAGAAGTGTTAGTAACGTATTCATGAGAAATGTATTCTTTTTCTAGCCTTCACGATAAGTATTCAAGGGATAGTTATTACGAGTTTTCATGATCATTCTTAGCCGTCCACGGATATGCAGTAAATGTTTCAGTAAACTTTATCCAAATAGTTTTTTGTCTTTAACTTTTATTGGAAGGGATACTTGAGACCCTATTTCATGATCATGGCCACATTTTCTTAGCGTAAATTTATATTTTGGATTTTATGTTGAATTTTAGTTTCGGTTCAATTTAGTTACAAATGCGTCTATTATAATCTTAAGATTTAATTTTATTTGAAGTTTCCATTTATTTCTATACTTAGTTTGAATTCGATTTGAGTTAAGAAGTTTTGAAGTTATATCGTAATTAATATACGTGTTACATCTTATATAAAATGCTGAATTTCATATTCCGAATTTACATGTTGATATCCAATGTAATATATGTGGAATATTACAACTTAAACTACTAAGTGTTACGCCCAAGATTGCATGATTGGATAACTGAGTGAATTTTTCATCCCTCTGAATTCGAATTTGGGAGGACTTATATGAATTCAAACCGTATTTAGTCAGTCTCTTAATTGACGGCCTTGCATTAGTATAAATAAGAGTCTTGGCTGAACTCATTCGGAAATTCATTTGTCCTTGTAATCTCCCTTGACCAATATATACTTTCTTATTCGTTTATTATTCTAGATTCGTTTAAGGGTCGCACGCCTAGAACCAAACTTCTATCGGCGTGGATAGATACGAATTTGTTAATACCCAATGTGTTTGTATTTTCTTTGCAAAATCTATAAATTTCCTTTTTTTTAAATAGTGCATTAAGTACTTTTTAAAATTTGAGTAAGCACTTCTAGTCCTTAGAATTTTCTTAAAACAGGAAAATTGAATGGAAAATTTCAAAGTTATTAGGAGAAGTGAAATTTCAATAAGGAATTTGAGATCTCTCAAGTGACGGGTGAATTTGGAATATTTGTTGTTTCTATATTCTATTCGACATGGTGAGAAAAAATAATGGTGTTGAATGAGAGGTGGTTTTCGGAGTTTTTAGATTTTAAAAACTAAAAAACACCAACAATCAAGTTTTTTAAATTTTGGTTTTTCTAAAAAACCGGAAATCTACTTTATGTAAAAAATCAACTAAAAACCAAAAGTTACAATTTTTTAGATTTACAAACTTATAAAATCCAAAAGTCTAAAACTAAAAACTAAAAACTAAAAACCAAAAACTAAAGCAAAAAACCCAAAATAAAAACCATTACCATTCAAAGCCAATAATCAAAAGAATATAAAACAAGAATTGAAAGACATAGGTATTGTTTAGTAACAAATATTGTAATAAGATTATTATCATTAGTGTAGACTAATGTTTTTAGTCAACCATTATCCACTTTGCATGGAGTATGAAATTGCACCTTTTATTATCATTATTATACTAGTTTATTTTGAAATGAACATTAAGTAATAATGTAAAACTAAAAAGAAAAAAAAAAGATTTGGTCAACTAGTAGAACGTGGCAGTTTGACTTCCTCTCTGTCAGATGTCCGAGGATTTGCTCGCTTGTCCGGTTCTTTTCCATTAACGAAAACTGAGTCATCCTTTAGAGATTTGACACGTGTCAATCCCAAAAGACATTAAACCCAGAATATTGGCCCATATTTAATTGAGCCTTGACATGTTGTTATCTAAGAGCCCATTCAACAAATTGCCCCAACTAATTTCAAGGGCTTTTCTCTTATCACACATATTTCGTGATCTCATTGGTCGTTCTTTTAATTACTACAGAAAATCAGAAAATCCACATTACATGCATAAATCTAGGGTGACGATTTCGGATTTTGGTTATCGAAGTTAAATCTCCATATTCGTGTGTCGTAATGTCATCATTTGATCACGAGAGGCTCGAGTTTGAGATAGATTTATGTATTCCAGAATTAGGGTGATAGTACCATCTGATAAACTTAAAAAGAGAATGCAAAAAAGAAAAAATGCCCACCGCATAAAAGGCCGGCCCGATGCCAATGGTTGTTGGAATGTGCAAGAGCAGAGGTGGCTGCAAAGCCGTGGCAGTCTCCACAATCTGTTCCCACAGATAGTATCACTTCAATCAGACAAACACAAGCATTTGTCAACGCATGTGAATAGGTGATTGCTCTCAAGGCAGAGACAAAACCTTAACAGCGGTCACTATGCTTTGCCCCTGCGGCCTGAATCGACCAAGAACGCTAATGGCCTGAGGGGTCAACATGACCCGTAACAGCAGTTCCTGGTTCAACTATGTCTTTTGCTGCGGTGATCCTAGAAGGTTATCCTCCTTCAAGTTTAATGGCATTCACTCCTTCCTTCCTTCAATACCCTGACTGCAGTATCTACCGCCTGATCATCATTTATACCGAAACCTCTTCAAGCCAATTGATGTTTTGCCCACAACCTACAAGATTTAGACGGTCAAATCGCTGGATGTGGTTTCCTAGGATATGAGACAGTGCTGATCAGAACAACAATTACTCCCTACTAGCGAATACCCAGATGATAAATTCCCAATTCGAGTACATGAAATCCCAAACGAGATTGAAACAGAATTCTGGACTCGGGGGGGGGGGGTCGATCATCACCTGACGGGTGTTGGGACTCATAGGCCGACGAGCAGAGGCCGCATGCCGCCGCCGCAGTGGACGAGCATCTCGTCGCGGGAGATAGGAAGCGTGGTGTCGTGACCATGGACGACCACCGAAAGCCGAGTCGCCAACGATGCAGACATCAATGCCGGCGTTGTCGACGGTAATCGGCTCTCCTCTCCGATGTTTCAGCCGGAGGTTAATCAGCGTCACCCTCTGGTTCGGACTCTGCGGCTTGGGACCGCCATAGACGGTGTTCTCCGGGACATTGCTCATGCACCGGACGACGAAGGCGACGGTCTCCCAACGCTAGAGTAACTCCTCGAAAGCGACGGAGCAATTGTCTGGTCTTATATGAGTAGATACATATAAAACATATATATATTTATATATATCTAATCTATTTTTGGAAAATGATGTTGGGAACTCACGCGCTGCCTTCTCGGATAACCATCTCGAAGTGGACTGCCCACTTCTCCTCTCCACCGCCTCGAACGCATTCACCTGCTTTAGCCCCTCGGTTTCTCTACTTCCTCCGCCTCCGGAGGTTTGTCCGCTTAAATACTCCCATGGCCGGAGCAGGATCTGCCTCCGCCGCCGTCGATGGTGAGCCGACGCCGGAGCACGTTGTTGGAAAGTGGTTCTCCGTGCCGGAGCTCCGTCTGCGTGATCATCGCTTCGCCGTCCCTCTAGATTACTCCCTCGATCCTACAACTTCTCCGAAGATAACCATCTTCGCTCGCGAAGTCGTCTCAGGTAATTTGCATCAGTCTTCTCCTTCTCTAATGTAGTGACATGTCGAAATATGACTCTATGATGTGTCATCTGATCTCAACCTTGTCTCCTTTCACTATATCCGTGCCGGATTTGATTGTTTGTTTCCTTGCAGTTGATTTGATTTGAGATTTGTAAGTGGCTGCGTCTTCATCGTATTGTTTGTTCGATTCTCACTGATGAAATGTTTTTGCAGTTGGGAAAGAAGAACAAGCAATGCCTTATCTGTTGTACCTACAGGGCGGTCCTGGATTTGAGAGCCCACGACCAAGTGAAGCGAGTGGATGGATACAGAGAGCGTGCGAAGAATTTCGTGTTATCTTGATGGATCAGGCATGACATGAACATGACATTTGCTTTACTCTTTTCAGGGTCACGGTTCTTTGAAGATGCCAGAATTTGGCTGGCTGATGTTTCTTGTGCTTTGAATTCCCTGCAGCGAGGAACTGGCTTATCATCTCCTTTGACAACATCCTCTATGCTGCAATTCAAGTCCCCCAAGGAATTAGCGGATTATTTGGTTCACTTTCGAGCTGACAATATTGTGAAGGATGCTGAGTTTATTCGAGTTCGTCTAGTTCCTAATGCAGAACCATGGACGATTTTGGGCCAGGTACTCTATCCTTTTCTATTATCATCAGCCACTCTGCATCAGTTTCTACAAGACTGTATCTTCTCGATTTCACCGCTTTACCAAACTTCAAAATTAATCATCTTTTTCCTGTAGAGTTTTGGTGGATTCTGTGCAGTTACATATCTGGGCTTTGCGCCAAAAGGGCTACAACGAGTCCTTATAACCGGAGGAATTCCTCCGATTGGAAAGGGATGCACAGCAGATGATGTGTACGAGGCATGTTTTGAACAAGTCATTCGCCAGAACGAGAAATACTACAATAGGTTTCCTGAAGATATTGAGATTGTTCGGGAAGTGATAAATTATTTGGCTGAATCTGAAGGAGGCGCGGTTAGGGTTTAGACCATTTTCTTTCTGTACTCGTGGAGGAGCTGACTGAAAGCCTGCTAACCAGTTTTACGCTCTCGTGTGCATAGGTACCTCTTCCTTCTGGAGGCATCCTCACACCGAAGGGTCTGCAAACTCTTGGCCTGTCTGGTTTAGGGTCCAGTACTGGTTTTGAGCGCCTGCATTATATGTAAAGCTTTTGCCTTTGCAATTTCTATCTGCCACTTATACAGAGGGGTGCCATATTTTGTCTCAATTGTTTCTTCCTTTGATTACAGGTTTGAGAGAGTCTGGGACCCTGTATTAGTTCCTGAAGCACCTAAGTGTATTAGTCAGTTCTTCTTGAATGCTGTAAGAAAACTCTCTGTCTTGATGTTTTTCAAGTATCTGTTCTAAGAGGGTGACCATATTCTTCAAGATAAACTTTGAGATATTTCATCTGTGCAGTTTGAGAGTTGGCAATCTTTCCACACAAACCCACTCTATGCGCTTCTACACGAGACAATATACTGTGAAGTAAGAATCTTCAATCTTCTCATTTTTCCATTTTCCCTGTATGGTTGTTGAAGAGATTTAAGTCCCAAGGCTGCATGATTTTATCTTTTATGTGGGTTTGGAAATGATTAATGACTGTTCATTGTTGGACTTTTACTAGTTATATCATTTAAACTAATGGAAACCTTACCAGGGTGCCTCATCAAGATGGTCTGCTCATAGAATACGTGCAAAATTCGAGAGCAAGTTTGATGCCATCAATGCAGCCAGAGGAGGTCAGCCTGTACTCTTCACAGGAGAGGTATACGTAATGCAGTACACATATATAATTCTAATGCATGTGCTTAGATTCCATTTCAACAGACTAACCATAGGTTTGATTCAGATGATATTTCCATGGATGTTTGATGAGATTCATGCCTTGAAGCCTTTCAAAGAAACCGCCCATCTTTTGGCAGAGAAAGAGGACTGGCCTCCATTATACGATATCACCGCATTGAAGAGTAACAAGGTTTTTTTCCGGATTATGTCACATATTAATATCAGCCCTTAGCTCCATGATCGAAATATTAACCATATTCGAATGAATTACGGGCAGGTACCTGCAGCAGCAGCGGTTTACTACGATGATATGTATGTGAACTTGAAGCTAGTAAAGGAAACAGCTTCTCAGATAGCCTCGATTCGGCTATGGATAACAAACGAATACATGCATTCAGGCCTTCGTGACGCAGGGCGACAGGTTCTGGATCATCTGTTTGGAATGATCAATGGGAAGAAACCTCTTTTCTGATCTCTCTCTTTCATATATAAATTAGTCACTGTTGTACCCTTAGCTCTTTTCAAAGTTTGGCCGGTTCAGACCAATTTTCGGTTTGGTTTGGTTTGGTTAACCATCTATGCAGTTGAATAAACAGTGGATGAATGAGTTTTTTTTTGTAAAGGTTGTGTTGTATGTGTATTGAAACGAAACGTTTGAGTTTAGTTTCAAAATTGGTGAATATTGGATCACATCTGAAGGCTAAAAAGAGTTGAACAAAAGAACTAGACTTTGCAATGGGAGACGGGCTCCCAAGTGCGTGGTTTTACCTGGCCAGGTTCGCAACATCTCTACGAGCGTGTGATCCCATGTCGGAGTCATCAGCACATGACTGAGGCGAACAGGTTGTTGAGTCAACATTTATTAAGACTACTCTAGATTTTATTCATGCGTTGTTAAAGGTTTTTCGTAATTTTCATCGTATATATATGTATGTATATATTTGTGTATATATATTATAAACAAGTCAAAAGTTTTCGAAAAAAAAAATGACAATTTTTATTTTTTATGAAAGTTTTGCCGGAAGTTTTTGTGAATTTCAAATTAAAATTTTTAAACAAAAAAGTTTAAGGGTTTTTTGCTCAATTTACAATTTTGTCCTCTAAACTTAGGGCAGGACTAACCTGATTTTTAAAAACAAAAAAGTTTAAGGTTTTTGTTGCTCAATTTACAATTTTGCCCTCTAAACTTAGGGCAGCCTTCTTTCTTTGGTTCTTCTCGCTCGAGCCTTCCTCTATCTCTCTCTTCCGGTTTCAGTTTCGTCCCCGCCTCGGGGTGATAGTGTATCGTCTCGGCCAATTCTGCCTCTTGCAGCTTTCTCTCTCTCTCTCTCTCTCGCTCTCTCTCCTGGGTTTATGGAGGGTTTCTTCTGATCAATCCAAGGCCTAATCTTCTTCCTCCTTTGAGCTTGTGGGTTCAGATTGGAGAATGCAGAGATCATCTTTTCGGTCACTGGTTCGGCCTCTCTTGGCCAGCCGAGGGTTCTCTACGAGCTCCGACAAGATCGTCGCTTCCGTGGTTTTTGAGCGATTGCCCATTGTTCTTCCCAAAATCGACCCTGTTGTGTATGCTTTTCAAGAGTTTTCGTAAGATCTCTCTCTCTCGCCCCTATCTTCTGTTTGCCCATTTACTGTTTTTACATGCTTTTGGGCAGAGAAAAAAAACTCATCTTGTGGTTCAAAATACTTACTTTGGAGCTATAGTTTCCATTTCTCGATCTCTGGACTTATTTCTGCAGTGTTTGGTCCCTGAGCAGTGAACATTTGTTGCCTCTATGAGGCTACCTCTGAAGATAGTATTTAATAAATTTTCAATCTTTCTAGTGCATTCAATTGGTTGCCTATATGTTCACTTTGAATTGGTGGAATTGAAAAGCTTTAACTTTCTTGACCTCGTTGCTGTGTGGCAGATTCAGGTGGGGACAGCAATATCGCCGTAGATACCCAGATGAGTTTCTGGACTTGGCTAAGTCTAGGTAATTGCTTATTCAATATATAGATTATAGACATATAGATCGTTCTTACTTTGAGCTTATTTTGAGCTTTCTGCCCTTTTTATGTATGGGTAATTATGCCACGGAATCATGATTTTGGAGTATCAATCTACCGGGCGGTTTCCCTTTCATAAACTTTGTTCATCCAATTTTGGAGTCTTCTTCATAAGATTTTGGTATAAGTTCCGACCACATGGTCCCTTTTATGAGGCTATAAAAAATTTCGGATTGGTGTTTTTCATCTGCTCTTCTAGTCGAGGATATAGCTTAGTGATAATCAAGCTTAAGATTACATTTTGAGAGTGAAATCTTCTTATTCACTAATGTTCTTTCTTCGAGATTTGTACTGGAAATTATGCTTAAGCTAGAGTATTAGAGAGTAGAAGACAAAGGCCCTTTAAGCATTTGAATGAGTGAGGTTGTCTGTTAACTAATTTGTGACCTATTATGGTACTAGATGAGAATTGTGAAAGTTATTCGACAATATCTGGCTCTATTTTAGTTTGCTCTGAACGTGAAGAAGCTCCTGTGCGATGATATCTATATACCTTTCTCTGTTGAAATTGGAGTGGTATTTTTGTTCTGCACAATGCACATATGAAAAAGGCTTGTCTTGAGTTGAAATGGCATTGTGCATGTATGGGAAACTCCATTGCCTCTTCATCTGATATTGTGGGTTGCATCTGAAAACAGGGCAAAAGGTGAATATCACATTGATTATGTGCCTGCTCCCCGGATAACAGAGGCCGATAAGTCAAATGACAAGAAGTAAGAAATTTTGGCTGCTGCTTCTGTTAACCATTACATCAGACCATGATAAATCGATGGACTTATACTCTTGCAAATGTTTGTAGGTCATTACAGAGAGCTCTTGACCGGAGACTCTATCTTCTTGTCTATGGTAAGGCATTCGGGGCTCCTGATGACAAACCCATCTGGCATTTCCCTGAAAAAGTATACGAGTCTGAGGATACCCTTCGAAAGGTGATGACTTTGCCTCTAATTTTCGTCCCTTCTACTTCATTTCTCTCTTTTATATGAAATCCCATTTTCTTTTGTTTTGCAGTGTGCAGAATCTGCTTTGAAGTCTGTCATAGGAGACCTCTCGCATACATACTTTGTCGGCAATGCTCCAATGGGTCACATGGATATACAGCCTTCAGAAAACATCCCTGAGTTGTCGCCTTACAAGGTACTTGTACTTTCCCCACCAATGTTGTCATTTTGGCGATTAGTGGTTATCCCACATTCCCAAATCTCAAACTTTGTAACCGGAAGCTGTTTCTTAAGAATGGAATCAGATTATTAGCTTTTGTGAGCATCCATTATGAGTGTGGCTTTACCTTCTCTTATGTGCAGAGGTTTTTCTTCAAATCCCAAGTAGTTGCAGCAAACAAGTACGACATAGATAAGTGTGAGGATTTCATGTGGGTGACCAAGGATGAACTTTTGGAATGCTTCCCCGACCGAGCCGAATTCTTAAACAAGATGATCATCAGCTGAGTTCAGCGTTGACACTCATTATTAAAGCCCTCTCGGTCGTATCCATGTATCACTTTCTTTTCATTTCGTATAAATTATCGACTTTTTTCCTTCGGACAAGGTTAGAGACTAGGAGGGGTGAGAATAATGGCATTGTTTCAACCATTTCCGTATCATATTTCTATGTCGATCCTCGTCCTACCCATCTGGCCTGCCCCCATATCATGACCATGTATCATGTACAAAGGTTATCATGTCATGTGTGCCATCTTATATCGTCGTTCATAGATTATGTAAACCAGAAGAGACAGTCGCCTTCTCCAATCAAGATTAGGTACAAGTTCCCACCTCGAGACCAAAGAATAAGAATCTATTTCTCAGATATACGCTTTATGGTTTATATATACATAGAATGAGGCATGGTTGCTGGTAATGAATAGTCAGGAGGAAAGTAAAAAGTGATCATCCTTTTATAGAAAAATATCTCATTTCATATTTTCCGTATATAATAATCACTGGGAGAGAGAGAGAGAGAGAGATTTGATGTAAAGGAAAGGACGATACAGGGAATGGGATCGTCGGAGGAAGAGAAGGCGTCGGGGATATCGAAGCTTCTGGAGAGAGCGAGGGGTTACGTGGCGGAGAAGCTGGCAAACATTCCGACGCCGGAGGCGAGCGTGACGGACGTTAACTTCAAGGCAGCGAATCGTGACTCCGTCGATTACGTCGCCAACGTCGCCGTCAAGAACCCTTACCCTCACCCCATCCCCATTTGCCAGATCTCTTACATCCTCAAGAGCAACACCAGGTTCCATCTCTCTCTCCCTCTCGAACAGATCTTGTTGTTTAGGGATGGTTAGATTGTCACTGATTTCTCCGTATAAAACTCCAAAAAGAAAAGATTTTATATGAATTATTTACGGTTTTCGTTAATCAAAATACGAAATTTCCAAAATATATCTCCGGTGATCAGGTTTCCATTGTGAGAATATGATTCGGGTATAGCTTTAGGTTATTTTGGATTGCAAAATAATTATAATCATTCGGTATTATATTGAATTTGGTTGTTGAGTTCCGGTTTTTATTGATAAAAAATATTTATTTTCTAAAAAAAAAAAAAGAATTCGATTTTTTCGGTTATTTTTATTTGGTTCGATTTATTTTTTTTCGGTTATTTGATTATAATCAAATTGATCATCTGCAAGAGTCATCTAAAATCTATCTAATGTTTCAGAACTAACACATAATGGGCATGTCCTCGCCAAACTCAATACAAATTTTATTCATAAATACATTTTTACGCAACCCTTGGTTGGTCACAATTCTATACTAATGCATATATATATATATATATATATATATATACATATATATGTATAATATTGAGTCTCAATAAGATGATGTTTGCATGAACAGGGCAATAGCTTCGGGGACTATGCCGGATCCCGGATCGTTGAAGGCGAAAGACACGACAATGCTTGATGTGCCGATGAAGATCCCGTACGGCATAGCAGTCAGTCTGGTACGAGACATTGGTGCGGACTGGGACATCGACTACCAGCTTGATCTCGGTCTCACCATCGATCTCCCCGTCGTCGGAGATATCACCATCCCTCTCTCCACCAAAGGCGAGATCAAGCTCCCCACCCTCAAGGACTTGTTTTGACTTCTTTTTCTCTTACCAGTTTTATACAAAAAGGAATATTATGACAGAAGAGCCAATAGCTTTGGATCTATTCCGTTATGTTTGGATTTTTGGGTTTGGTTCGTCGGACATTATATAGAGATACATTGGTATATGGTATGACATTCCATCAATTTTAATCATATCATGCGTGATCATGTTTTGCTAAAAACTCTAGTAGAGGTGGGCATTTTGGGTTTAGGTTTGGTTGTTGTCAAGTTCGGTTTATGAAAACTTATTCGGTAATCCATAAAAGTTGTATTAACCTAAAACCGAATGTTAACCGGTTTGGTTCGGAATGGTTTTGTTATAGGAGTACCAAAAAAAAAAAAGAATTCAAACTTGATATTTGTATATAAATTCATAAATAAGGATAAATAATTAAGATTTTGATTCAATATTCATTGGGTTAGATTCAGTATTTGTTAGGTTTGGTTTAGAAACGATTTATCTAGTATAACAAATTGTATCAAATTAAAACCCAATATTATTTGGTTTGGTTCGATTCTATTTTGGTTTCGAAATAAAATTTCAAACCGAAACTTCCTTCTCAAACTCTAGTAAATCTTATAAACGCAAGATTTTTTTTCGAATTTTGTATCAATTTAGAGAACCGACCTTCGATAGGATTTTCTCGTTTAGTTAGATATGTTATTGTATCAGAACACACACACAATGTTTCTCAAATCAATTCTATTCACTTGTAGGAGAATCAAACTACAATCAAACCATACACAATGAACAACATCGACTCAATGCACACCCAGTGAATATTTTTCAGCTAACAGATCATAGGTTCGCTCTTTATTCACACTATGAACTCCTCTTCACATGCACCTCCCTTAGTACGAAAAATCTTTCACCAATGTTTCTGATACGATCCTAGATCGAAAGTTTTAGGTACAACAAAAATCTCGATAACCCCTTAACAACACGTGAATCAAATCTAGAAATAGTATCAGTAGATGATGACCTTCTAATCTCAATCTAAATCTGGTTAAGAAACGTTGGAACGTGGTAGAAGACGTCACAAATACGTGTGATGAACCCAATTGATAAGTCAATAGAGATACTCGTATCAAACAATCCTAGAAGAAAGAACTTCTCTCTCAATAAAATAATCCAAAAACCAAATCTGATCAAAATTAAATAATGACGGCCAATTCTTTAAATAAGGCCAATCCTAATTAACTAAACAAAACAACTTAAATTAAAACTTATTCGTAAAAGTAACACGAGTATTTGCCTTCGCGAGTTTACTCCCAAAGCCTTTTCTGATCTCTGGAGTAATATCGCTTAATCTTTATGGACCTCCTTTGGTGTAAGAGGTATCAATTTGATCTGCTCGCCCTTGAACTTGAATGAATACACCTTATGATACTCGCCATAGTTAACCGTATATCATACTGCCAAGGTCTCCCAAGTAAAAATGTCCTGCCTGCATTGGTACCACATCACATAATACTTCGTCTCCAAACTTCC